AGCGTTCACGACGTCGCCACTACCAGTCGACATTTCCTGAGATGCTGTTGCCTGCAAACGCGTTCAGGAAATGCGACCGCGTGTGCCATGTGCAGACCGTGTCCACAATTTCTTACGATTCTTGCGAGCCCTCAATTTAGATGACTACGTTGTTGCTGAATGCTATCGGTGTTGGCGGCGCTGCTGGCGTCGAGTCACGTGCTGCGCTGTCTTTGTCCTCGTCGTCCATTGCTTGCTAAATCTGATCGTTCTGCACGTCAGACGGTGTGCATATGCTCTTGGCGTGCTGTATTACAATCACCAAGTTTTGCTTCCACCGGAAAACCTTACAGCCTTCTCGTTCCTCGCTAATGCCGACTATAATAGAGATTTGTTCGCGCTGTTGTAATATGCTCTTTCGCGAACCCGATACACGGTGCGGAGAGAGCCGAACACGACAATCTCGCGTAAGTCTAGCACCGTCCATGTCGGTGTGATGACGCCTTCAAAACATGTGGGAACCCAAGGACCAGTGGACCAAATAACCCGCAGAAGTGAAGCGACCGTTTGCCGACGGACCAAAGAGAAAGGGCGCCAAATGGGAAACGACCGTGAGATTGGAAGAACTCGCGGTCAAGCTCGCTGCTGTGAGACCGGTTACTTGGCATTGAAAGGAGTGAACCGCGCTTCCAATCGGTGGACCGTGGTCTTTCAAGGTGGATCTCGATTCCTTATCGGTAGACCCCGGTATTTTGAGTTAGACCTCGGTCCTTCGTCGGTACCCCTCGACCCTGGTCCCTTGAGGTCAACCCGGATCCTTCTTCACTCGACTCGGTCCTTAGTCGGTCGAAATGGATCCTCCAAGGTCAAGCTACCCTAGCCATCAGATTCAAGGACTAGGTCTCAAAACAAGGATAGAGTAAAAGGAGCTAAAAGATAGGGCTATACTAAATAACACTCAATTTGCTATCTACGTGACACGACTTCGTCACGCTTTAAAGGAACTTGCTTAGTCCATCTACCTATTCGGTGAAGGAATACATTTTGGCCTTCCGTCGAAGACAGTCATGTGGCAAGACTAAAGTGCAAAGATAGCTTCAGAATATATTTGGCCTATGCATTTGTCTCAGTAGCACCCCCCCATCAATCGACCCGCTATCTGAAGCGGTCTTTCTACCCTACCGGTTTGGGATCAAGTAAAGTCCAAGCTGTAGATACCCCTAAGATATCAAGAAAAAGGAAGGAAAAGACCAGGGTTGAGAATCTCCCCTGAAAACTTTGGTTATAAGTCCACCCTCGACCAAGTCAATCGAATGGCCACCTATAGCCTATCGAGTAAAGTATCTCCAAGTCTTCTGAAGCGTGCAACCCCTCAGCCGACGGGTACACAAGGAACATACGCGGCATCGGGGAACCCCCCTTCAACCGTCGGCAGTCCAGAACAGTAAGTGGCTTGGGGCCTCATCACGCCGTTTTGAGAATCCACTCCACCTCTTCGGCAATACAATTGGCGACGCTCGCTTCGTATTTGCAATCATCGGGATGCGGTTCAAGCTGTACGCTGTACTGCACCGCGTTATTCCACAAGTTGCTTGGCATTACGTACGTACACATCATGCTTTTCTCTAAAATCGAGCGTTCAATTCATGCGCTTATGCTTGCCGGTGGACGCCAGATTGCGCGCCTCATACACTTGCCTTGTGACACCAGTCTTCTTGCAGAAGAGATCGACATTGGCGTACTCGCCGCCACCGTATGTGAGTAGCTCATGGATACGGCAGTAGAAAGGCTTCTAAAAAGAGATCTTCGAGCTGCTTGACTGATGCGTCTTTCATGCGCGAGGAAGATACGGAAGTAGTGCAATTTTGTGATCGACTCGTCAAATCAGGCAGTGGCTGTCGAGTCTATAACTGGTGTCATCGGACCTTTAAGGTCCAAGATATGATACAGCCGACCCTGTTCATCGACGCGTTGGCGCCTGTCCTGTCACTTTCTTATTCGTTGCGCGGATCTTGCCCTCTATGCATGTAGCCGAGCTACTGAAGCTACGCTACTTATGCACTATGTGCAGATGCACTATGTGCAGAAGAAGTAGTCAGAATACTGTACAAGCAAAGCTACGTATGCACTATGTGCAGAGGAAGACAAGCTCAGAGAGCCACTGCGTCTTAGGGTGTTTAACCCTCCTAGGCTAGCTCGTAAGCTTGTGCCTATCGGTATTAACAACCGAGTCTCAGAGAGACTAGTATCAAAGATACAATTCCTATAAGGAATAGAATGCTCAAGCTGTAAGGCTTACAGAGCAGGTTTGAGACTGATTTATATTTATGTTTATCTTCTAACACTAAATATAGAAGCACCTATCCTATACATAGTGCTAGTCACTATTACTGGCTCTATAGCCTTTTATAATTATGCAAAGATGCATAGTCACTATACTTTAAATTAGTATAGTGACTACGTGGCTCTCTGCCACCCTTCGTACTTCAGGTACGGTCACATCACCTACTTTTGTACCCAAGGTACAGCCACACCACATTGGTGTGGCAGGTGTGTATGTAAAATACACACCTTTGTGTAACTCCGTTGCACCCTCCCCTCCGATCCGTGGGACCCGACGTACCCACGAATTTTTGCACTTAATTGGAGGCATCGATTTCATTTTCTTCTCATTTTGCTTGCCTCGCAATAAGTGCTTGCACTTGCGAACAAATCGTCAATGTTCTGACACTTGCTCCTGGAGCACCTGTGCTATGCACACACGCTTTCTAAGCATCCTTGTGTTACGACACTTGCGCCTTGAGCATACAGTGCATTGCACTCACCCTAAAGCATTATAGTGTTACGACACTTGCTTATAAGCGTTAAGTGCCTAGCACTTGGTATTATTAATACCCTTTGTGTGTTTACGAACACTTGCTTTTACAGCATTATGTGCCTAGCACTTGGTATTATTAATACCCTTTGTTATTCCAACACTTGCTTTTACAGCATTATGTGCCTAGCACTTGCTTTTAAGCATTTCAGTGTTTTAAACACTTGCTTACAAGCGATTGAGCATATAAGTGTGTAACACTTGCTCACAAGCACCGTAATGTTAACACTAGCTCATAATGCACATTAGTGCCGAACACTAGCTTATAATGCACATTAGTGTCGAACACTAGCTACATGCATATTAGTGTATAACACTAGCTTATAAAGCACCATAGTGTATAACACTAGCTTATCAAGCACCTAAGTGTACAACACTTGCTTATAAAGCATATTTTCGCTAAACACTTGCTTTTAAAGCACCTTCGTGTTCAGCACTCGCTTATAAAGCACCTAAATGTTTAACACGTGCTTGTAACGCACCTTAGTGTTGAACACTTGCTTCTTTAAAGCCTTTAAGTGCTTGAAACACTTGTTTGTATAATCCCAAAGTGTAGATACACTTTGGGATTATTATCACACCGAAATTGGTCGCGGTTCTTGGCGTTGCATACTGTCGGGTCATCTGTACTTTCAGATCCGCCCATGTGGGAAAAGCATCTTGCAATGATGCACCACATGTGAATGCCCACTGTTTGGCTAAGCCACCTAACTTGCCCGTGGCAAAGCCCACACGGTACGGTTCATAGGTGATGTCGGCTATAAACATAGCCGACTCGACCTGTCGGAACCAAAGCATAAGGTTGTCACCTTCCTTGCCGTCAAACTTATCGACTTCCATTTGTATGGGTTTTGGTCTGCGAACCACTTCTTGCGCCATAGTCGCCATGGGCGAAGAGAAGAAGGCATCTGTGCCTTTACATGCTCGACTAGAGCTTTATTATATTCATCAAGCATATGAATACGCGTTTTAACCTCTTCTTCGCCCTGGGCGATGAGATACTCTACGCCCTTAGGGCCAAGGATAGGGAGCCGCTTCTGCAACCCTTCCTGTTGTGCCTGTGACAGGCCAACCGCTTACATCTCATCGATGTCCATTCTCACACAGAGAAGTAGTCGCAAACCCAGGTGCGGGGTTGACTACAAAGTAAGTTTAGGGTGTAGTTAACGATTAAATACACCTGACTTTCAATTGAGCTATACGACCGGCAAATGGAAAATACACCCACGTCGTCCAAAAGTAAGCATAGAATGCTCAAGCTGTAAGGCTTACAGAGCAGGTTTGAGACTGATTTATATTTATGTTTATCTTCTAACACTAAATATAGAAGCACCTATCCTATACTTAGTGCTAGTCACTATTACTGGCTCTATAGCCTTTTATAATTATGCAAACATGCATAGTCACTATACTTTAAATAAGTATAGTGACTACGTGGCTCTCTGCCACCCTTGGTACGGTCACATCACCTACTTTTGTACCCAAGGTACAGTCACACCACATTGGTGTGGCAGGTGTGTATGTAAATACACACCTTCGTTTAACCCGCAGATGGTTCGGAATATTACTAATTAATAACATTCAACCTTCACGATAATATTCGCATTAACGCCTGACAATAGTGCCAATGCTATGTAACGGGCTCACCGCGTTACAGCCGTAAGAAGAAACGAATGGAGACGTATGATTTGTTTGTATGTCTTAGCTTATGAGTTCTAAGAAAAAATCGATAATGATGAACTCGCTTAGGTTGTGAATTTAAGCCAATTGTCGAATGTAACGATTAGTTGCTCGTCCTATCCAGAATTTCGTCAGATCGAAATCAGAGAGCTCTTTTTTAGGACTCCTGTGTAGATTTAGGACTAATGTATCTTGGTTTTAGAGTCCAAAGAACTGTCTAACCGCTCAGTAGCTCAGATTTGCTAAAGCATGTAACAACCGTAGTCAGGACATTGTGGAATGACCTATTTCGCAAGCTTTGACCGAATCTAAACAGCTGACCGCGCTGACTTGCACTGACTTTCAATCATTTGCCTTGACTATACTAAGCTTCTGGTCAGTCTTCTCCTTTGAAGCTCCTTGACAGGCACAAACCTGTAACTAGAAGTTAACCCTCGGCAATTTTGAGCTTCCTAGCATAAGTGTAATGAAAGTAAGCTCAAGAAATCTCACCAATGGTCTTCACCCAGTCTTAGGTGACGGTGGAGGCATGTTTTCCATCCCAAGTTTTCCATCGGATGACTCTGAAATGTTTGGTGGCAATCCAATGACTGTGGACCCGTCGTCTGCTGCAATGCTACGAGGTCAGCATTTAGCTAAAGGAAGCAGTCGGTCATCATGGTACGAAGATAATGTCTTGTCTAAACGTTTGAGCTGCTACGAAATCATTCGCTTGTTCTTTGACTCGCTATTGCTTATGGTAATTGCGACGGGCATCGTGTTGGCCGCCTATTTACCCGTAGACGTTGAACACGGCTTGCGTTATGGAGTAACCTTACCATATCTCTACGCTGTTTTTGTAGCTATTGCAGGCTACGAGTTTGCATGGTTAGTCTATCTTGTACGTTTAAAGCTCTTTTTGCCTTTCAAGTTATATAAAAAGCAGACATCAAGAGAAATGTACACACAGATTATCCCCTGTGCAGTCGATCTGGAAACATGTGCCATCACGTCTATGGCTGATAAAATGTTTTGTGGAAGTAGAGTATTTGCGGCGGTTTGCATCTCGATCGTCGCTACGGGAGGAGCAGTGGGGTTGTGCTATGTGCCGGGAAGTACGGACATGCCCATAATTTACATTGGAGTTTGTACCTTTGTCGGCATGTTGTCAGCTGCCTTGACGCCCAATATACCAACAGCACTGTGCGTGCTCATTCGTTATGCGTATTTCTTCCTGTCATCACTAAATGTGGTACTACGCAGTAATGCGAGCAAGTCGGGTGTTTTTCATAGTACTGTCAGTGGCAATGAAAGTGGCTCGATCAACGGTTATAGTGGTGGACCAAACAGTCGGCGTGCTATGGATAAATATTTGGCAGTGGTAGTGGAGTCCTACTCGCTGTTGCTACTGAGTGTGTGCCTGTTGTTGATTGTGCGTGCTGTAACGAGCAAAGACTCGATGGATTCGGCTCTTATGATCGTGCTAGATGGCGCCGGTTTGCTTTACCTCAGCTGCTCTTCAGCCGTACTGCAGCTTTTCGAGCAATCGACTCGAGTTCATGCTAGCGGTGCATTGGCAGGATTTTTTGTCATTGTGTGGAGTGCTGAGTTAGGAGCGTTTCTCACTGAGCGTATTCTAAAAGTCGTACAGTATCCGTGGATACATCCATTGTCGATGGTGTCATCTCAGCAGAATATTGAAAAGATGGTTGGGGCAATCGGTTACGCAGTCGGTGCTGCGGTCCTCCTTCCCAATTTCGTCGAGTTTGACATGGACAGCAAATTTGTCGCATTCGTAAGCGCTGCTGCTGTGGTATGTGCCCATGTTGGCAAACTTTTTCTTGTGAGTCTTAAGAAAATTGCCAAAGTTTCTAAAACGGGATCATATTTACGTGTAGGCGGTGGTGTCCTTGATCGCCTCGATACACTGCTCTTTATGGCGATTGTTTTTGCTCCGTTTTTCCATCGTGCTGTTTATAATCAACCACAGTGGTGATTGAATGTCTGACTGCAAGGAAGTACTACATGTAATAGATTCGAGGATAGATTCACATTATCTGTCTTGTTAACCTTCCATGTTGCCCGACTGCTGCAGACTTGCGACACAACCCGTTACATGACAGCGCATTTTTTCTTTCCGTCTTCCAAATCAGCGCCATCATCGTCATGGTCACTCTCAGTTTTACAATCCTTTGTATTCTCATCACTCACATTCGCGTCGCCTTCCTTTTCATCGGCATCAGCCTTCTGCGTACCTTTCTGCTGCTTCTTCACTACGTTGCGCAACCGCTCCACATCTTGCATAGTGAGCACAGTGCTGTTGCGAATGACAAGCTGGTCATTGAAGCCAAATGTCTTACAGCTTAGCTTCAGCTTACGTTGTTCTCCGTCGTGCTCACCCAGCCCCAGTAATTCACCCATTGTGTCCTGCATAAAATGCGGCTGGTTACTAATGACCTCAATCTGTGCGTTTAATGCTCGAGTCAACCAAGCCAACTCGGTCACATCGGGCACGCCTGGATCACCCTTGCGGAACACCACAGCAGAAGGGTACATTGTATCGCTATTAACCTTAGCAATTGGGAGCGAATGTTTCGCGATGATGTCCAAGTCATCAAACGGCAAAGAAGTCTGAGAGCCGTAAAGGATTGACATCTCCTTTGCGCCCCACACGATATTATGCTCCCCAGCACCGTTTGTGATGCTTCCAAGCGGAGCACAACTGACCTTGTGGTCTTTCCAATGACCACGCTGGCACTGTGCATCGCAGTAGAAGGTGCATTTACAACGCGTGCAGCGCTTAAGCTCCTTACCAGGAGCAGCGCGTTTGTCGCACTTGGCGCATCGGCGCAGCTCCGGATTTTCCATGAGGGCAAGCTGCTCATCAGGCGGAAGCACTCGACGTTCCAAGTCCGCTCGCGTGTAGAATAACGCCATGCCACGAATGTGATCACCACCCTCACCGTTTGGCCCACTGCCCGTGTGCGTGCTGATGACAGACGAGAATACAGTACCTCTGCCGACATGGTGGCGTGCATCCAGCCGTATTTCCTCATCACCTACAGCATCAATCTGAATGGCCTGACGCTCAGCAAGGTGATTCCATGGCTCCAGCTTCGCGTAATGCTCGCATGCCGAGTAAAAGTCACACAGTGCTTCAGGAGTGACACCAGCACCCGACATCAGTCCTGAACGCTCACTCACTTCAGCTACTGATGCAAGATCTTTCCGAATCAAATGCTGTGATAGTTCTCTGCAAACAAGACAAACAACCATAAATGCATTAGAACAAGCAAAACATTTCTCCTTCAAACCAAATCCATAACGTACTGAATGTACGCGTCAATTCCATCTGATTCGGACAGATACGAGCACTCAATTCCTAAACTCGAGTAACTCTTTCGAAGCTGCCCAACAAAGTGTTTATCGGGAAAAACAATCTTATCCGGACGACGCTGGGGCATATTTTTCGGTGGGTCCAGCATCGCGTGCAACGTTAGCTCCAACACTGTCTCAGGTGATGGGTACACCTCAGGCGGATCGCAAATTTTCTTGAATACCACTTGGCCCAGAGGGTACAAGTTGTTCACCAGTACGCAATAAGGACGGCATGGTACAGCGTCTTTTCCTTCGTCAGCTCCAGTGCTAGACGCCGACCAGACTCGGAGTTGTCGTACCACCACCTGCCACACCTCGAGCTGCTTTTTCTCCAGCTTCCGGTAGCGCTCTACCTGATTTGATGTCAGCATCATCTTTGTGCTAATAACAATATCCACTGATAACAGCATCAATAGGAGTTTAGTCAGGATAAAGTAGAGGTTTACCATGACGGTTAAGATGGCTACATGTCAAAAATTTTACAGCACGGACCGTCGCCTTCAACGTCAAATTGAGTGGGTACACGAGGAAGTTCTTCATTATCAGAATCTGAATCATCCTATACATTTTTACATACAAATCGAAACAATATCGATACGATAAGAGACGTTTATACTACTGATAGCCAAATTGAAAGGAAAGGACATTGAAAAAATGCTCTAGCAATAAATCTACTAAACAGTTTAAGGTGATAATAGTACAAATGGAATTGCATCATACTCGACAAACTAGTAGAAGTACAGGACGCACCTGAAAGTTGTTCCATTTCTCGTACTTCTTGGTCAAACACTGTTCAGACGACGTCATTTTCGTTGCTATTTGTTTCTACTTTGGAAATATTGACTCAGAAATGGACCTAATTTCTGATTCTGAGGTCTGATTTGTGTACGTACGTATCAAATCACAAAAAATGATTCTAAATTACGCACCAGGTATTCCAAAAACGGTCTCACATGTCAATTTGACTTTAATATGAACAATCTGGTCCTCAGACTGCAGACGCAGCGCCATGAGCTCTTGACCGCTCACGCAAATGCGAGCGACCGTGATACCGCACAAGATCTTGTACAAAAGCTCAAGAATGTTTCCGAGGAGTTAGAACTTGTTGCTGCGGCTGCAACACCATTGGTACAAGCTACAGCGCTATCTCCCGAGTTTTATGCGAGCTATTTGCTGCTTGTGTTGCTGTCGAGGAATCTGAATGATGCACGTTTTCTATGGAAACGTATTGCAATTGAGACAAAAGAGAGGTCTGAAGAGCTTCAAAATGTATGGGAGATTGGCAAGGCGCTGTGGAAACGGTGAGATGAGAGAAGTGGAGCAATAGAGATCGATAGAGAGAGAAATGTATGCAAAAAGGACAATTTTCTGATTGTTTTTATGTTGATGGTAGCAGTAATCTGGCTGCTGCGTATGGTGCAATGGACTACGATTGGTCTCCATTGCTTCAAGGTCTTGTTGAGTCGCTTAAGAGTACGTCGGGGGGATTGTAATTTTGTACTACTCTGTACAAGGAACAGACTGAATGGATGGATGGAGTCTTGTGTTGTGTCCAGCTTCAACACGTGAAAACACAGCAGAGCTATTGTGTCTTGCATACTCATCTATCTCTATAACGGACTTGGCGTTGGCGCTAGGATTTGCTCGACATGAAGATGCTTTGCACTGTGAGAGAGTGGAGACTGCAGTATGTGAGCCTCTTTTCTACTAATGATGCGACTCATGTGTTTGTGTTACAATGGAATTCTTGATGAGGCAGATTGTTTATCGCTAAATTGGAATGTATCGGAGGAGGACCAATTGGTCTGGCCCAAATCAATGGCAAGCGTCCGTCGCAGTCATGCAGCAGGGGTGGATCTTGCCCAGCTCGACACGTTGTCCAAGATGGTGTTGCATCTGGAACAGAACACAGTAATTAAGATGTCGTGACGTAAGATGTACGTACACGCCACCATGGACTGCATGATTTCAGTGCAGAATGAAGCGAGTGCAGTGATGAAGCGAGTCAATATAAATCCGTCGCTCACAACTCCATAGTTTCGTTGAGTTATTGCTTCTTCTTCGATACTCATGCTATAGATGGAGAAGCGCAAAGTGGATTATCGAGATCAAAGCAGCATAAAGTGGCATTTTGTGGAGTGGCCTTTGACGTCCAGTTCACGTTGAGTATGCGCAAAAACAGCAGCCGTGTTCTTCTTTGAGCGACAATCATTGATGGATCTTGCCCGGATCCGCCAGCAAAGCACTTTCACTAGTTCCTTTGGTTTTTGTAACTGCTTCATCTTCAGATGCGAGATCGCAACGTAGCCCTCAAATACGTTAGGAATAGGCACAAGTCACGAATTGGCCTCATGCGACTCTTGCGCGAAAACAAAGACGATAGTGTAACATTAAGGATAGCACTGGAGCTTGCTGCGCAGGCGATTGTTCAGGCAACAATGAACATGCATATCAGTCAACTTGAAACTGCAACTTTATAACACAGCAATCGTCGTGAGCTCATTTAGTTTGTATCTTGCAGTGGTAAACAACAAGCATAGCGAGAAAAAGCGCATGTATCAGTAGAAACTTGCTGTAGTACATTCAGGTGAGCTGCAACTGATCTAAAAGCATCATAACAAAATGAAAAGTGTGACAACAATTGCGATACAATCGCGTTTTACAAAGTCGTTAAGAATGAAGACAAAGACTTCCTCCTGTCCAATGTATTTCTTGCAAAAAGGATGTGCTTACATGTAGTACTTATCGTGTCTTCGACATTAAATGCGAGAGCATCCAAGTCCATAACATCGTCTACCTAATTTTAATGAAGAAAAGCCTCGTTACTGGCACGCTTTCTGTCCCACGCAACCACATCTTCGTAGCAAATGTCACCACCAAATATATCCAATGCACTACCAATTGACAGATCCACCTGCACGAAATAGCACAAGCAAATCACGTTACAGCCACAACTACTACACGAGCAGTACAAGAAATTCTAGCTATTCAAAAAGTATTAATTACCTTTCCCTTGCCAATACGCTCCACAAAGTCCAGATCATCCTTATAGTAGCAAGATACAAACACCATTAAGTAAAAATTGCTCTACCTTACTTTGATCAAAAGAGAAGTCAACGCACTAAGGAACTGGCGCCACCAGCATACGTGACGGGAAGAGGGCTCCACTGCGCCAGCAATTCCACAAGCTCTTGCTGCAAAATGACGACAAGATAATATCACTGTCAACCACATCATCTCGCCCCTTTTTTCTCTATCATATAAACACATTCAACACTATGCCCATACCTGAATACCACACCGCTTGCCTTCAACGTCCACCGCATGCACCAAAAACTCATCGCAATAGTCAGCAAGACGGTGAAATAAAGCCTCGCTACATTGCAACCATTCACAAAATACAGCATTATCTTCAATACAGCTTTTACACACTAGCTGTGTCATTGTGGCCACACGCACTCGATAGAAGTCGTCGTAAATGTCTGCCACCGATCAGTCATGACATAAAACTTGTTGTCCTCTGTATTTTTACGACAGCTCAAATCCAGTACTAAACGTTCCTTGCCAATAAGCTGCTTGAGCTTCTCGAGCCGATGAAAATCAATCTCGCCATCTCGGAATACGTAGGAAGTGACAATCACGTGACTTGCACCCTTTTCAACAAAAAACTGGCAATTCTCAGCATTGATACCACCTAATAGTAAGCACAAACGTAAGAGTAAACACCAATTTGGTTAGTAATGTAACATCAAATGAGAGAAAGACATCTTTTGTATCATCAAAAACTCACCGCCTACTTGAAGTCCACCAGGAAAAGCGTCTAGAGCCTCTAGAGCAGCATTTGTGTTGACTTCCGACGTGCCCAACATAATAATATGACCTCCTAGTAATCCATGAGCTTTGTACATTCTGTCACATGACACAAATGAGTCATCAACATACACAAAAAGCGCGTCAAACCTGATACAAAACTTGCCTAATTCTTTAAACAGGTTCTTCACATACCGTGCAAATTCACCCGCACTTTGCGTAGCGACATAGTTTGTAACAGGTTTAATGTCTTGATTGTCAGTGAGTGTAGAGCCGACAATTTGCTTCACTTCACCAGCATGAATATCAATACATGGACGAAAACGCATGGTCGAAGTAATAGGAGCTTTAAGTGCGCAGTGTCACTATTACGAATTGTTACTTCACACCAAATAATAGTTATATGGGACCTTTTTTATTGTTTACAGGTGTTATTGTTGAATGGGTTCTTCATACCTATCTTGATCCGATTATTATTGCTAATTTGAAAATTGCAGCCAAAACGATATCATAGAAAATGTCTTCACGGATACATTATGCGTCTCTTAGAGAACGTTAATCCTCCTTTTTCATAGAAATAAACTATGAGCACTTTATTGCTCAAGGAACAGATTGTAGGAACATTTTGGGTGGTCGTGAAAAACTGCTTTCCATTTCTACGATACATCATGCGATCTGTTATAGACAGGGTCGAATCCACGTAGCGAATCCTCCGTATTGTTATCATTGGAACTGAAGCTAGAAAAGCCGGAGACTGCTATGGCATTTGAAGATGCTGAAAGTCAAACTGCTTTAGAGATCGTCGTCCATTGACATCCAGTTTACTAAATGCCTGATGCACTTAGTAAACTGGATGTCAATGGACGACGATTGTTTTCCATAAGACGAAAAATGTAGAACAAAAGTACTTGCTAAGCAAGGACCTAAGATTGCCATCAAGAAGTGCTCGATATTGGATTTCTGATGGGCAAGGGATAGAGCAGACTTGCTTCTTAGCAGGAACAAGCCAAACAATGAAAAAAACTGAAGCTCTTAACTGCATATTTTTAAGTCTGACATCCTGATCGAGAACATGACAAGGAATGGCAACACATTAGGTCCTTCATGTGCGCAAACTCATGGATATGATAGCAGCACAGCCCTACGGCTGCTGCTTTCAGAGACCGAACGGAGATTACGATCAGCCTGTGGAGACGTACCAGGAGGAATGGTGACAGCAGTCACTGCACCAGTAAGTAGGAGGTAGAGAAATGGCTCGCGAATCAGGTTGATTGCGAGCGCATTGCAGATTACGAGTGATTACGTCCCATCCGATTGTTGAGTAACTACAATCGTCGAGTACAAAGTGACAAGACGAGTTAAGAACGTTGCTCGAACATGGTTGATGTATCAGTGTCTAGAACATTAAACTCGACCGAAACTGAAGATACGGGGATTCAAAAGGAGTGATCGGTTTGCTGTGCCTCATGAGATTGCCGCCACGAATGTCAGCTTGACAGTGGTCTAATTGAGCATACCATGCGTTTGTCCAACAACGTCGTGGCAATTTAGACCTTTAAGAACTTGAATCCACAAGGACGTGTAGAAAAGCAATGTCGTACGAGGCAATTGCGCAACGCCTGTTTGGCACTGAGTGAACCTCGCAATGTGTGATTGCACTTCCGTTGGAATAACAGTACGCACGCAGTTGACGTGAAAGCGTGCTTCTTGTTTTAAGTAAGATGTCAAGCACGATGCTTTGCGTAATAAGGCATACTTGCTCTCAAAGCTACATGAAGCAGTCTCGCATTGTTTCATCCATCTGTTCCATGTCGAACTAGAAACGCTACAACTACTGACTCCCATGTAAATTACAGACAATAACCAGAATACCAACAAGGTCACGTGTGCCTTTGCTTTTTGTCTCTCTGTGATGGTCTCAACTATTACAAGATACTCAAGTAGCCAGTCACTATTCCTCTTCCTTCTGCGGCGGGGGTCCACAAGGCTGAAGCATTTTTTCCAACATGTTATAACGCACTCGACCCATGGCCTCGTTCTCCGCCACAGCAAAGTATGCCAGCATGTCTGAGTGGCCCAAATGCGACGCCAACGTGTCACGATGCTGGTTTACAGCCCACTCACTGCATCAAGAACGACAAAGTCAGCATGCACATCAAGGGGTAGTGACAAAAGAATCAACCCAGTTGCCATCAAAACCCACAATTTCGTGGTGTCAGCGTGCCCTGTGCCCACGTATTTGGCCTGCAGATGTTCCCATTGTCGGTTGATGTTGAAACGGTCCGCTGCCTGTACGTGAAAAAGCAAGAAACATTACAGAGCGGCCAGATTAGTATGGCTAGACAGAGAGGGAGGTATATATTTCACGTTACCATGTTAAAGTAGTTAGCTTAATGCTAATAAATAATGTGGACCACGTTTTGTAAACTAAAAGCAAAATTTTGAATTAGATATAGTAGATTTTGCATAATTTTAGCTTTGCAGACTCCAAATGCCTTGTCCCGAATGACATTATCGAGGTTTGCGTGGCGTTTCTCTCGTTGTCAATCGCTATAGTCAGCACTGGCATTTTGCCAATGCTGCTATTGCTTCTGCAGCTAGTGCTGCACAGTCTGCTTCATGTGGTGGTACGCTACTTAGTACCAAAAAATAATCTGGTACGTTAATCGAATACTGTTCTATGCATAAACGCTGATTCCTTTCGACACCGGACTGGCTGAGTGCCATGCACGCGGACACGTCAAGTGCGTTGCACTCCCCCTCTTTCTGAACGCTTTGTCGAACATCGCCGTGACCCAGATGCGGTCAATGTTTGCTGCTAAAGCTGTGGCTTCTAGCGCCGCAACAGAAAGTCCCGATCATCCCGTCACATTTCATCTCCATACTAATTAAAATTTACCTTGAAACGTCGCGACTATGAATATTACCTGCTGTCCTTTATTTTTCTGGGTCAAAGAAAAACTTGTGCCATGCACAAACCATGCCACGGCGCCGACCCACCAAGCAGATGCAAGGTCTCCGCAATGCGTTCTCACCACTAAGACAAATCAACTTGGCCGGTGTGCGTTTTACACGCTGACATTTTTTTGCATGGCGGAATTGGTCTCCTTAAAGATCGGTGTTGCACATGCATCTGCTGGTCAGTCTTACGCTGTAAGTGCCGATCATGGTGTGTCCAGCATTACCAGGTGGTATAGTACATGATTACAGCACACTGGTCATCCTAGATAGTCTCTACGATCCAGGTGTTACCCGGCTTTCCGTCTTCGAGCTGCAGAATACTGCAGATCACAGTTTCCAAGTGCCTTGGGATTAACGATACGGAGTATTGTGCGTACAGCTTGCTTCTCTTGACAGACATGTTGTACTGCAGTGAAGTATACGGTGGAAAGGCTTGTGCCCAGCCGGTCACATCGCTCCGACTTTATCAAATTGAAATGTACTAACATTGTAGCATGCATTACACCATCTTGACTCAATGCTTGGAGAAAAGAGTCATCGAAAATGGAAAGGCAGCAAGAAGGCAAAGAAACTGGAGGATACGCGCACCAAGAATCTTAACGGACGAATGGCTTGAGCCAACGACAAGCCTCGTTTGCAACAAAAGTACTGATTCCTTTATTGAAGTCGCGTTTAGATGCACGTCAAAAAAGGCAGCTTTTTCGTAGCGAAACGGCTCACGACAAGTACGTGCTGGTCGTCGTTGGGGTAACAACAGGAAAGCCTGATTTTTTATCCGCTCTATTTTCTTGTCATGAAAACCAAATTGTTGTTGTAAAAACGATAGATTAGAAATTAATCTTTCGACTGACTGACGCGAGACGTGATTTTTAGTTTAGAGTATTTACTTTATCTTTTCCATGATATTACTATTATTAGCACTAATTATAAACAGGCGCTTTACTATCTTTTTTTTACAATCATTCTGAGCTTCTGAATCGAACAATCACTGGTCTTTGTACAACTCGAGGTCACTTGCCATCATCGTCAGACTCTGTGCAACGCCAGGGACATAGACTTGTCAAAGTACTGGCCCTTCTGCTCGCTTACTACAGTGAAGATATTATGGCACGCCGTCGAAATGGCCAGCACACAGTCGTCATGAAACTGCACCGTCCAACATAGCAGACCATGCAACAAGTATGGTTAAAGACACGCTGGCCTCACACACCGCCACGCATGCTGATCGGCACCACAGAAAGGATACTTTTGGCTGAGACCAACCTGCAACGTTAACGACGATAACAAGACTCAAGGAATTATCTAAAGGTCTACATTCTCGGCAGATTATTTGCACACGCGCATACTATTCTGCTTGGTTTAGCTCGTTTCTCCCCGTGCTGGCACACGTTTGTAGCGGAATGTGGTTGTGGTGCGAAGCTGTGTGATTAATCCTTCGTTCTATCCTTCCTCCCTGCGCACGACTACCAGCTAGCGAACGATTGAAACGAGCCCTTAGTCCTTATAAACTTGCTTATAAACCTGCGCATCGAAGCGGGGGGATCATTATACCACTACCGACTGTATGCACGCGCTTCCGGTGACGGCGAAGAAACAGTCGGTGCACTCTATTGTTCGACACACACCCACTCACTCACGTCGGGGCGGCCGCGACTTCCACGATCGCGGCGCCGCGCAAGTACCCTTACTTATAGTAGTAATTCCACGTATTTTACTGCTCAGCAGCCTTCCAAGATCCTGGGTCGGTCCCATCTCGCGATGCAGTCCTTCTCTTCGTTCTACACGAGATTCGCAGACGTTCCCGACGCACTTGCTGCCGAAAAATCCCTAACTAGCTAGGCATACCACCACGCTGCACTATTAAGTGGTCAGAAAGTCCGGCAGCTGGAAGGGCTCGGCAGAGTCGTTCTCAGGGTTCTTGCTCCGTGTATTCACTTGAATGTAGTCGGCCGTCACCATCTCGTAGCTGTCGAGCCGTCGTCTAAGCTCGCAGAAACAACAGTCACAGTCAGGCACGTGTGACTCTGCGTCTTCAGCCGACGCAATCTCTTTCGAGTTGTCAAACACGCGCTCCATGAGTCTGGCACGCCAGTCTTGATAAATCTTGAGGCGTAGCTGGTGGGCTTCCATACGAGACTCTGGACTCATACTCAGCGCCTTCTCAGAAACTTCTACTGAAAAGTCCTCCATAATATCAAGGTACTTCTCATGCAGTGTCTGCAAACTTGACAATAGTTGATCTTCCTCAGGAGATAATGTCTCCTTCATTCCCACAAGGAAGTCGCGCACATTTTTCGCAATTTCCATCCCTATTCTATTCTTTAGTGCTTCCTGTCCCTTTAACTGCACGACCGCGCTGCGTATCACTCGGCTGGGCAGATGAATACTTGCTCGCTCGGTGGCGGCGGGTCCTACTCCCTTCTTGAGAACAGGTTAGGCTACGAAAAAGCTTCGTCTGTGTGTGTCGTGGCCAGCAAGATGGCAAATGGTACTGGCGTTCGACGCGAGAACAAGGCGTGCTTACTGCGATGGATGTGGGTCACACCAATTTATTCCTTTCCAGATTTGGGTGGGATGAGCCAAATCGGCGCAATACGTTGATCCGAATATCACAACAAGAGATGGGCAAGCACGCCGATTGGCTAGCCGCCCATAGCAACTGGAGGTACCGCTCTGATTCTTGCAGCGGCGCCAGCAACTTATCAAGACCTTGGCAGAATATGTAGCAACAATGTACAATAGCAATACATGATCTTGGTATGCTATTAGAAGGTGTGACCAAGGCGCTGGGTATTAGGTCATAAGGCGGTTCTATTCCAGCATGCTAGAACCATGAGGTGAAGTGTGAAGAACTGCCATGATAGCACAAAGAGAAGGATGCTCTTTATGCTTGATCGCGCCTTTTCCGCTTGAAATGCCTGAACTATTAAGAGACCTCTGCTCATTGTGCATGTTTTTTTTGCAAAGAGGGGAGTAAGCCAGAAGGCTGCAACTTGGCCAAAACGACCCCAGTGTAGCAGAAATTGCTCCTGTCCGTTGTCCAGACATTCTGGTTGCAGCAAAGCGCACGTGAGCCTCTTGTTCGATCTCCTCACCAACTGTCCCCGCTCTCTGCCTTCTTCGCCTTTTTGAGCCAGTTATGGTTTGGACGGTTGCCTCGTGCCTGTAGCCACCTCGAGCTCTCTTTGGCGCTGGTCCCTTATAGCCCTCTCCTTACTCTAATTTTTTTCTCGTCTAACTGCCGGCGTCACGTTCAAAGCTAACCAGCAAACTTGTCCCGGTTGTCACCAGCAGGCCCTCGTCTGCCTCGAGACTTTCTTTACTATACTGGCGTACGATTGCCAAAACGGCCAGTGGGTTTTGTGTCTGCACTCTACCAAACGTCTCTCCATCTAGATACTAAGAAGTAGCGTTCAAAGTTTTACTAGCTCAGGTTATTTCTCGTCATCTAGCTCATTGTAGCCTACTTCCTCTACCACTAATTATGCGGCGGCCAGCGTTACGCGTACATTTTTTGCCAGTGCTGGCCTGAATCGGAATGTCATGACGAAGTTGAAGAGTAAACCACGCACGTTCGCGCGCTTTTCTGAGCTCATGTCGTCTGCATGTGCCATTCGAAAAGGCAACCGCGCCGCCTATGGTGTCCACCCGACGACTGTGGAGGGACCACTACGTGTCGGACAGAGCCGTGTGGCGTCTTTATCCCAAAGATGTAACCCTGGAAACATGTCGACAAGTTACCCAATTGCTCTTGAAATGGTATTGCCAGCTGCCAACTGCCAGCTGCGGTCACAGGAGGCGTTGCTCGATAGAGCAGACCAACGAGATATCGCTGCAGACACTGCGCAGTGGCGTGCGAGGAATTCTTGCTAAGGACCTCGTAGTGATGGAGGCGTATACAGCAAATCCCATCGAGCGATCTGGTCGGGCCGAGGTTCCGATCATCAAGATGAAAGGCGGCCGCCGCAACGGCAGCAACAGTCTCTCGTTCGCATTCGCCATTCCCGCCTTATGCTAAAGTACAAAAACACGAGCTTGGTATCTCATGTGGTTTACATTACATTAGTAACCCATTCACACCTAACCTAACTGTTCGAAAAACATGCCATGGTAAAACTGCCTTATGACTCGTTTGCACGTACATGTTCTTTTCTTTGCTACTTTCATCCTCAGGTCATTCGTTACATAGGCACTGAGAACTTTTCCGTCTCTTTTGGAGCAATAATATTCAACACCAAACAAACTTACGATTGCCGATTTAGACTTGTAAGATTTCGATAGTAGAACGACAATTTCTACCTTTGAATCAGAAAAGCGGTATGATTCAATCAATCCACGAAAGCCAACGCACGATGTCCGTGACGTGACGCCTTTAGAAAAACTTGACGCATGCTAAAAGCCAAGAGTAATCCGATAATTCACACTAGTAAAAGTAGTCTAGTAACTAGACTACTATTTCACGATAAAACGCTTTGAAACAACGTCCATGTGTGACTCAGGTTATTTTCTCGACTTATGAAACGGTATGCGTGCTGCATGGCCCGTCCGGCACGTAAACGAAATGCTGGGTGTCAAAGTATAGAAGATTTTCCTGCAACGGCGCCTTGCGTCTGTGCGTGAAAATGAACTTTACATAATTAAGCTCGCACCCTACTCAGCTGCAAGATTACGCACGGAGGTAAACAGACGTCACGGAGCTGGTCGTAAACGGCTTTATAAAACGCAAAGAACTTGTTTATATGATTGGATCCACCGAGAGAGAGGGTCGTGGATGGACGCTATTTGTTATAAGGCATCGAGTTTAGTAAACGGAATATTATGTGGTCCACAATGGTGATGTATCATAGGCACTTCCTGATATAGCCGCTACAGCATGGATCCATCCTGTTCTATGCGAATACCTCGACGAGCCCAGTGCGTACTACCTGAGCTGACACTGGCACCGTTGAGCTCCAGTTTAGCTGCTACACCGCACAAATCTGATCAGCTTTATGCCCAACAGCTTCCAGACAGTAGCAATCGCAGCAGGAATATCAGTCGCTCAACTATCTACAGCGCTCAGCAAGAAATCGTCCTCGATTGCGCACATTTTCTTCACTCGACGACCGCTGGATTCAATTTGCCGCCGGATTAGTTCGTTGTTGGTCACTGACGTGAGCTTAACGACCACGGAAGTCGTAGGAACGCCACTTCCTGCTGAGGAGCAAACTTCAGACAGCCTCATCGAACAAATAGCGGCAAGGATGATCAGTGGAGTCTGCAGCAGTTGCAACAGAAGGACAAAAGAAGGCGGAGTACAAGCAGCAATATTTACATCGAAAACCTCAACTTGCAGGAGATGTTGGAGACATGGAAACAGAGCTGAGGAAGAGACAGGCGTGCAAGCCACATCCACAGGTAGCATTGAAAAATAAAGGAAGACCTGTGCCATGTCCATCGACTGGAAAGAAGTTCGTGATGGATGCCGAGAAAGCTGCCGAACTCACTTTGTTAGAGCGTGTAGAGATTCAGCAGTACGACGAATTAGTTTTGTATCACGCTGGCGGTCAAGCGAGGTCGTCGCCATGGAAAAATTCATAATGATATGCCTTTGTACGGAGATGAAGAGGTGGTAATTCAGCACGTTGAAGAATCAGATGAAATGTCTGCAGAGCTATGTAATGACGGCTACGATGACGACAATGGAGACTATTTGGTCTTGATGGGAGATCACTTAGCATTCCACTACGAAGTTTTGAGCGCTTTAGGCCAAGGATCGTTTGGACAGGTTGTATACTGTCTGGATCACCGCACTTGCAAGCACGTAGCCGTCAAGATCATCTGCAACCGGAGAAGGATCGTGACCAGGCACTGAAGGAGGTGTGTCTCTTGGCGCAGCTTCAGCGTGAAGCAGTAGCGTGCGATGAGGATCCTCACATCGTGCATTTGGAGGAACACTTTTGGTTTCGAAATCACGTGTGCATCGCCTTTGAGGTGCTGGGCACGAACCTGTATGATTTCTTGAGGATGCGACACTTTCGCGGTGTGGCTATGAGTAGCGTGCGTACTGTTGGCAAGCAGCTGGCACAAGCGTTGAAGTTCCTCAAGCTGCAGCAGGTTATTCACTGTGATCTTAAGCCGGAAAATGTAGTGCTGATGCAATATGTGGGACAGGAGATGTGCAGAACGCAGACAGTGTGGCCAACGTGACACTCATCGACTTTGGTGGTAGGAAGTCCCATGCTCACGTACATTCAGAGCCGCTTTTATCGTAGCCCAGAAGTGTTGCTTGGTCATGGTGCTATCGACATGTGGAGTTTCGCATGTCTTTTCACAGGCCATCCAATATTTGCTGGCGAAAATGAGCGCAAACAATTTGCTTGTATTTTGGAAGTACTGGGCATGTCTCCGAGTGGAATGGTTTACAAATGCAAGCGCCGCCTCATTCGATGAAATGGTAAACCCCGCTGATATGGAGGTTGTGGACTAAGTCCCGAAGCCGTTTGTGAATTTGCAGGGACGTCGGCGTGTGCCTGGTTCAAGAAGCCTGGCTAGCGTAGTGATGACGAATAACTCTGATTTTTTTGGCATTTTTTAATAAGTGCTTCGTCTGGGAGCCTAGTCAGCGCCTTACGCCGGTGCAAGTGCTGCGGGAACCTTGGATACGATATCAGTCTTGAAGCATATGAACGTTAGTTGGCCAACGTTGAGTTATACGCTTCAATAGCTTATCGTACATAATATCAATCAAGAAAGCTAAGACCCTTATATCTTATGTTGAAATCGGGCTTTCATACATTTATGATAGCGATGAATAAAGATTATGCTGCGTTCTCCTTACACTTACTAAGTGAAGAAAGGAAGCTCTTTTCGTGCAGCACTGAGTTCTTCCAGCAATGCGTTGCCTGCTGTACAGCTAAGTGAAGAAAGGAAGCTCTTTTCGTGCAGCACTGAGTTCTTCCAGCAATGCGTTGCCTGCTGTAGCAGCTAAGTGAAGGTTATCCTGCTCGCCTGCAAGTTTTACCAGCACCCGGACCAATGTCGTCGCCAGCAGTCTTTCTCGTGCTGCAAAGTCTCCATTTTCTTGAGCTTTAAAGTTATTGCTCCGGTCTTTGCCACCCGTAAAAAAGCAAGTTTTAACATATGAGGAAGTTTATTGCAGCTTCTTACGTAACAGTACACCCGGTGGTGTCGCTGGCACTGTCGATCCAGAAACGTAAGGTGATAACGCTTTATCCACTACAGCAGTGGTGTACTCAGCCACATTCCACTTGTGCACACTCTTGTCCCACGAGCCCGTGGCGAGTACCGTATCAATATTCTTGTCATCAGAAGAAGGCACGGCATGTGCCAATTGGAACCATTCCAACGCACGTACATAATCTCGGTGTGGCTTCAGTTTCTCTTCGCCAACCAACAGTTCGTGTCCGCCACTGCCTACACTTTCATCCATCAACATGCTGTCCGTGGTCACAAACGCCATCCCGTCATCACCTCCTGTTGCCAACAAGCCATCTTGATACGGCGAGTACTTCACGACGTGCACAGCTGCTCTGTGGATATCTCGTTGAGCTAAAGGCGTGCGCGGAGAACGCACGTCAAAGATGCACACCTTACCGTCCTCTAAACCGACCGAGAAGACCGCACTCTTCGTCGGATGCCAGTCCACCGACAGCGCTGGAAGGCGCGTGGCAACCGCTAACGCTGCATTTTCAGGATGACGAGCATCCCAGACCTGCACGGTCGTGTCCTGCGAGGCTGAGCACAGCAAATGCGCCTGCGTCGGATTCATCGCTACACTCCAGATCAAATCCGTGTGGCCTATAGACACGTAAATAGGATCATCATAAACTCAAATTCTATCGACAGCAGCATATGTTGAACGCACCCTCGAACGTAGCAATTGTCTTATCCAGTGCTCCAATATCCCACAGCTTGACTCTGTCGTCATACCCAACACTCAAAGTCAGTACTTGTGCTTTCCACTTTCATAAACTTGCAACGCACGTGAGATCCCAACTGCAAGTGGCAAGCTGTACTTTATCTAGCTTTGAGGCACTAATGCCCGTGATAAGATCATCGTGTCCCCATCCCGTTGGCGTTGCATTCTCTTCACTCGTCGAATCATTTGTTCCAATAGGCACAAAAGCAAGTGCAACATCCGCTGATAATCGAGTCAATCTTACATCACCATCGTCGCATCCCAGCGCTAGCATGTCTCCATCTTGTCCACACCAAGCCAACGATGTCACGCCAGTCTTTAGCTGGAGTTCGCATAGCTGCTCACACGTTGTAGCTTCCAATAACGCGACGCCTCCACTCCAAACGTTACCTTCAAGATGGGATTGGGCTACAGCCAGTAGTGGCAACTCGAACTCTTTGACATGCTCTTCTACATCCGAAAACGGCATGTGGGACAAGGTACAGGCAGCTATAGCATCGACCTGGACAGACGATGAGAAGGCTGGATGCTGCATTGTAAAATACGGCAGAAAATGACTGGTGATGGGTGAAAACTAAACGTGATTGGATTGGCTAGAAAGAATACAGTGGAAGAAGTTGAAGTAATCCAAGTCAATTAATAAATTACAAAACCGTTAGCGCACTTTTCTTCTCCCTTCTCTATTTTCTTTTACTTGTCTCTTTTTGTATGTGGGATGAGGATTGAATTTCTAATTCTTTTAATGGGTCAAAAGAAGGAAAACTTCTTGTCACTCGTGGCAGTTTGAATCGAACGTTTTTTTTCCTAGTCCCATGGTCAGAGAGAGACGTAGGAATTTGTGATCATTCAGAGCATTGTAGAATCAGCAGACTAACACTCACTCACTGACACTACGCAACTCGAGACGACAATGGTCCAAATGCCAACTAATATGCCAAAGAGCCACGTAACGAAAGAACATGGAGCGAAAGAGGCGGCATCGGAGACTGTCAATGAAATGTTGTCGGAAGCTGAACAAGTGCGTCGTCGTAATAATGTCGGTGACGCTAGTCGTCGTACATTGGATCAAATTCAAGAAGATGCACGGAATCTAGGAGAATATGCGCGTGGCAAAATGCACCATATGAATGAAATGATGCGTGAGGCTGCAGCTTCGGCTCGAGAACAGACGGGACTACCAAACTCTGCACCGGTGTCAACCGATGCGATGAGTGAAACGGTGATGGATTCACTCAAGACTGCAAGCGAGAAACTGAGTGATGAAATTAGTGACCTTGGGGAACGTGTTGAAAGTGTCAGGGCTCGTGTTGCGCAATCGATGCATGCTGCTGGAGGAAAAGCTAAGGATACTTTGTATCAGAGCACGGAAGCGGCCAAGAATGTTGGTGAACGCGAGTATTGTTTGCCATTGCCCACGGACCGTATCTGTGCGCGGCATGTGGCAATTGTCGGCATTCCGTTGCTTGCCTTGTTTTTGTTAATGATGGTGCGTCGTCGCTTCCCGAAGAAGTGGCAAGCCAGCGTGGACAAGATGAAACAACCACGCACCATGTTGGCACGGGACATGCCGTCTAGCGAGAAGCTTAAGGCAAAAATGGAAGGCATTGCTGAGACTCTTGGAGACAAGGTTGAGTACAGTAAGCAGTGTGGCAGTGGACTGGTGGAGCAAGCGCGCAGCAAGTACGGACAGATGGAAAATAAGAAGGACCAGTAATGGCACGAGAACGAACCAGAAGATTTCAGTACAGCTATGTAAAGGAGCTGAACTTGATATCGTAGCTGCATACTTGATCGTAGCTGCATACTTGATCGTAGCTGCATACTTGATCGTAGCTGCATACTTGATCGTAGCTGCATACTTGATCGTAGCTGCATACTTGATCGTAGCTGCATACTTGATCGTAGCTGCATACATTTTCGTTGATAACAACAACATGATAAGACAAACAGTGTTGATGTCTAGCAGGTTCTTATGCCACTTTCTGTCGCTTGGTAGTGTCGGTTTCACCAGCACCCTCAATTTCGCTCTTTACTGCGCTCATGGGTGGCAAATCTTCTGTCGCTGCTACAGCTGACGCATTGTTGTTCTCTAACTTTTCAGCAATTTCCGGTGCATGTTTCTTCATAAGCTGAATCAAGATAGAGTCAACACGCGCCGAGTGCTCGCGCTGTTTCTCCATTTTTTCATATTTCTGCTTCAGTTTCAGCTGTAGCTCTACACAATAAATACACCATAATATTTCTTCAGCATCACAAGAAGAAGTACTGCGTCAGTAACACACATCGACTCACGCTCCGATGGAATAACAGGCTCCTTCTTGTCCTTGGAGCTAAAGTCCCATGCATAACCTTCCGTGGGGCTAAAGCGCACGCCCGCTGCAAGTCCATGAAATGCTTTATTCACCCGATAGCTGCATTTTTTCTACAGTAGCCACATCAAACCACAAGAATAGCTTAAGTCTTCTTAATATCTGTTTGCACTGTTCAGTCACGTTAAAATACTGCAGCGTACAAGACGAGACGTGAGCATTGCGTGAATATTAGGTGCCTGGTATACAGTCCCGTCTAGTACGTAATAAATGGCTAATGGCTCAACTTGCGTGCGTCCACTGCGTCGTTGCTTACGAATGATAAAAATCTGTTGTGGTAATTGCTTTGCCACATTTGGCAGTAATTCGTACTCAACACCACGTAAATTCTTGAGCTGATCAAGTCCTAGGCGCTGCATCTTGAGGCGTTCATTATTACACGAGCGATCGTAGAATGGAGATAGTGCAAAGTAGTGCAATACTGTCTGTGGATTTAAAGGAAAGGATTGGAGCCATACCGTATCACGGAATGACGCATTATAGTCGTCCACATGTGCTGCTACTTCCATGATTTTACCAAAGTAAGGCAAATATTAAGGTACAAACGTCTTTACTAACTGAATATTTCGTGAAAGTTAATTCATTTGCTTAACGTTATATTTCATGTACTAACTTGACATTTTTGGTACGACACAAAAATGAAAAAACTTTGCATCACGTATCGAACGTTGCTAGATGGTGAACTACGTGCCTTTGTGACGCAGCAACTGGTTAAATACTTGCTTTTTATGCGTGGACAGGTCCCATGGTGCTTTTTTTATTGTACAATGGATACTGATTGCTGTATCATACGTAGACTAAGAGTGTTGTTGTGGTTTTGTTGACAATTTGCCGCAGCCTTTACGATGAAGTGCGACAATTTGTAGAGACTTTTCAGCGTCAGCAGCAACAAGAGGAAGTAAATCATTCAAATAAAAGAAGGTACTGGAGCCTATAGTTGCAGTTGAAGATAGTGTTATGTCATGGGACGTGATTGTGTTGTAGGCTACCAGTAAACGGGGGGCATTCAAAAGGCGGTCAAGTGTGTCGAGGCATCTGAAAAGTTGTTCCAAGTCTATTTAAAAGCCATTTTCTCATTGAGAGTAAAGAGAGGTATGCAAGATATTAGTTGTTGAGCTTGGCTGCAAGATTGGAGCTGACTGTAATGCAGTGGCGCTCATTTTTGGGTCGTCTATGATGAGTCCACGCGAAGCTGTTCTTGTCGACTTTGACGATGAGGAGGTAGCTATAACGCCCGCATCTATTGATTTGTACCATCTGGATCAGCTAGATGCGTCACTTGAAAACTTGGAGACGCTGGCGTCACCATCGCCGCCTGTGAGTCGAGAAAAGCTGATGCGCTTGTGCGCACAAAAACTGGTACGTGCGTTATTTACGTGTTCGACGGAGTACTTTGCGTGGTAAGTAAAAGTCATGTAAGCTTTCTGTTAGAAGCTGGTGGGATATAATGTAAACTCTGATTATATGTGTCCGCTCGTGACTGTTACCTAGTGCATTACCGGCAACCAAGTTGCACATTGCAGTGCTGGCGGAGCGCCAGCACACGCGTCTTCCTGGATTTCTTCCGAAACAGCAGTTCAAGCTTCGGCTGCCAAAGGATAAGCGTGGGACTTGGACGCATTGCTTGACCATATGCAGCAGCAACGGTGGCAGTAGGATGCAGAAAGATTTGCAGCATCCAGCTGCAGAGCAAACCCAAAGTGGCGATACGAGCATTGTGACAAGCGACACTGGAATTCATTCGTCAAGTGAACAATCTTCTGCAAAGAGTTCCGACTCGGACATGGTATGGTATGTGCTGGAAAAGCCCATCGCTGGCTTTTCGGAGGTAATAAACACTCTTGGTGGTCAGTAATCTCTTATCGTGTCCATCATACTTGAAGCTGCTTGGTGACAGCGACAAATGATAGCAGAGAGCTTTATCACTTGCTTTTTTGTGCTTGTTTCAAGTGCAAATGCAGCAAACAACTTTTGTCTCCGGTAGTGTTCGTTTCGCAAGAAAAATGTAGGAAGGTAATAGGTTTGATGTACACTTTGCTCGAAAAGAGGTAATAAATGCAAGCGTTATGGCCAGGATCAAGTTCCAAGCCACTACCTATGACAACGCCCTTCTTCCCAAGTGATCACGGCATTGAAGCGCGAAGACAAAACGCACGTGCAGGGAGATTGCTAAACAGAGCATGGCTTATGGCAGACCATTTTAATGACGCTCGTATGTTGCAATTAACGACTTCGAATGGAAGTAAAAAAAGCCCCGGTGCCGATGCTCTAAGTAACTATTACTAGTTGATCGTCCATAAGCTGTGTGAACTGACAACACCTTCTGTATCCTCCCATCAGCGACGACTCTAAAAAACGGTCTTCTCAGATTCAAGAGATATCAAATTACTTCCTGTCCTGGTGCTGCAATATGCATGCATCAAAGGTAAAGCTTCTACCCACAAGATTACAACAATCGTCGCTACACATATCCGTCCTTGAACAATAGCCGATTGGACTTTTAAGCAGCTTGTCATCTGCAACAAATTCTTTGACGTCCAATGTCGTAGTCGATAGCGCGGCCAACAAGTGCTGGGTTATCGGACCAGGGCATACCATATTGTAAACAACAAAGTCGAAGCTTTCGTCAAGAAGCAGTATCGTGATACTGCTTAAAACAAATGGGAAGGCGCCGACTTCAATATGACCAGCCGCATCACAGCTATATGCACTATCAACTGCATTCACCTTTTTTTACCTTCAATTACTGCAATTTACTAGCTTTGCCGTCACAACGGGTGACACCCAATCTTTCACAATATTTATTTTAGGTGGACAGACCGTGAGGTCTACATCATTCTGGACGATTAACTTTCTTGTTGTAACGAGGACTAATTTTCTTGGTCGGCTTTGTTAGAGGCGGCAACTTGGCATCTACTTCTGCAATACTATTGACCTTGACTCCAGGATAAAGTAAGATGAGCGACACTTGTATCACTCCCATCGTTAGCGCAAATAAGTTGGGACAGATGACCAGCAAATCGCCCAGCATGATTCCGTAAATGGACCATATCGTTCCAGCTACTACATTCATCGACGACATACCCAATGGCAAACAAGATGCATCTTTGCGTCGTAATATATTCTTGAGCTGCAAAAGAGGCGAGGCGGCCGTAAAGACCGACAAGATATTAGCTGGGATGCCCGTTATGATCTGTGTCTCCTCAGGCGAGCGTGTGGCCACCTGATGAGCTAGCAACATAATCACTAGCATCGCTGATGTCAGCATTCTAGTGACCTGTGTCCTGTCATGTGCGTACTTGTAATATACCAACACATAGTACAAACCCAGCACAACTCCAAGCAATGAGGTGCCACCAACCACAAGATTGCTCGTAGTCCAGCCATATAAAGTATAGATGATGCTCTGCACAAAGTAAAAGAAGAATGGAGCAAATGGGAACTGTAGCGTACTGCGTGCACGGCGAATGGTGAGAATCGTAGGCCTAATAAAATAAAAAGAGAAAAAATTATATATGACTTGAGTAAATTCGTCATCAAAAAGCTTCATACTGAACAATAAGACGAGTAACATACCAAGGAGAAATGGCAAATACAATGGACGAGCCTATAGCAACAATAGGCACTGACTTGACCGCTAGAAAATACGTCATGTAGCCAGCATTGGCCAACGACTGCAACGATGACATGTCTTTTGTGATATTCTGATACAAACTTTAACTGACTAAGTCGAAACGAATAAGTATTATGCATAATGATAGTTTTGAATTTTCTTATTAATCGTATTGAGAAGAAATATCGAGGCGGAGAACGAAATATCCTTTACCGTTTTTTAGAAATGGCTATATCAAGTTAAACTAGAATTAGAAAGTGTTCGGTTTTAAGTAAAGCGTGGAAAAATCGGATGGTCGCACGTCCCACTGTTTTTTCTTCGCTTGGCACTTGGTTTTGATCATTGATTCTGTAATAAGGTTACTTGGTCATCTTGATGTAAACAATGAATTGGGAATGAGGTGAATGTGAACGTAAATCAATTGTTCTCGTCAATCGCATTGGAAGAACCACGCCCATCATATCGCTATCGCGATTGAGACATTGCGTCTAAAGTTTTGCAGCGTCTGAACATGTTAAGCAGTGCCCCATCTATCCGCTGGTAACATTGGCCAATCATCGCACATTTCATAGGTAAAAGACGCATGCATTGACGTTGAAAGAAGCCACATCTTTATTTCAAGCTTTATAAGCTGATCAATATTATGTCAGCGCCTAATGCTTGAAACTGTGTGAAAGGTTTCGTCGGTGCGACCACTTGTAGATAATTCTCTCTTCAACTGGTGTATATGTTCATTATGCAATAGAAAACATGAATACGATAGCAAAGTTTAGCGAAAAAGAAAGTCGGTTCGTCTATTAGACATTCAAACCTTCTGCACGCCAGGACCCATCAATGCCTGTTCAGTGTACAGAACTGGTATTAATGGGTCCCGCCCGCCGTGCTTAATCAATTTACAGCCAAGACTCGTGACGTACATTTGCCCGACGCATGAATTAGCCAGACTTGAGAACAAAGCCAGGACAGAGCGTCTTCTTTGCCGTTTTGAACTGCGGCAGGAATCCATGTTACATTCGAGCAGCCCTCAACTCGAGTTGTTGTAGCACATCTGATGGTGCCATTTTTTTTCTTGTTGCTACGGTCTACATCGATATCATCAAGCTCGAAAACTTTGTACCTGTCCAAGTGCGATAGATATTCTCGCCAATGGATGCTACTGTAGTGCCGACGGTACGGCCGCTTGTAGCCACAGCTCCGTTTCATGACTGATAGCGGTGTTTGTCACGATGCTGCCGTTGCAGAGAGAATAAGCCGCAGCGGCTGGCGAGCTTTTCATGACGCCACTGCGTGGAAGACCAGGCAGGATGCACCAAAAGGTCTAAATTTGCCAACCACCAATCGCTTTTCCACAACTTCTGTCCAAAAGTTGTGCTCCATAATATTCGCCAAGGCCGTTGAATCTGCACTCATATGCGCAACTTGGTCATGGTTGCTTGGAACTACAAAGAGTTAACTACAAAGTGTTCCAAGCAACCATAACCAAGTTGCGCATATGATCAATTAATTTTCAGTCGTATGGCCGATAAATGACATGGGAGGTCGGCAGAAACAATTGCGCTGAATTGAAAAGATTGTCGCTTATAGTCTTCAAAAGGTTGAAAATGTAGCGTAGCTCACTGCATATTATACCGACGTCTTATCGTACAGCTATAACCTACCTGTTAGTCTTCAAAGAATGGTGTCGCATATACTTTACAAGTACAGAGAGTAGATACAACATCAAAATATAGAAATTGCCGCAAGATTTGTTCCGGGTCAATGTAAGTATCTCATATTACAAATCCATACCAAAATATTTACCTGTTCTGTTTTTCTCCCATAAATCAGAGAATTCCTAGCCTTTCCATTGTCTGGATCATATTCACAAAAATGGCATTGTGTACAGTTCTAACGTCTAACCTGCAAATCGCACCGTCCTTTTATTGTGGCTGGCGGCAACCTTGATGTTAGCCTCTAATCTTGAGATGAGACACGGAAAACAGCTCTTCGACTTCAATTAGACAAAAAATCGGATAGGATGAGCAACTAGTTGATGCAGTGGACAACCTGTTGTGGTCAAGTATTTCATAGTTTATATGTTCAATTCACCTCTCAAACTGTGAAGTGCTTTGTGAGTTGTTGCCAGCCTCCTCATGCTTTGAGAAAGCAGCGCGTCATCGGACGATGGTCGTTTCCCAAGATGCCTCTGCGCATCCTTTGACTTGGCCAAAGTGAATCATGATCTTTATTGTTGCTAACAACTTTCAGCATCTTCACATTTTTTGTTACCGTAACAAGCTAACAACATCTTCATTGCTCCTGTGACATGGTCACATATGCTTTAACTTGTAAATTACAAAGAGTAGCCAGGTGGGTAGTAGATATATTAAATATAAGTGAAGCTCCCACGAACTGTACTTGCTCAGACTGAACATCCAACGCATGTATTCCCGATCTTCATATCCATGCTCATTATCTCAAGCGTACGATCAAGCTTCTGGACAGTTCCTCGAGCGCTTGGGTTGGTTCATACACCGTATGTAAGACTTAAGGCCAGCTCGTTTAGTTCATTACGCAATTTGCACCCGATAGCTACAGTCGTCCAGTACTCCTCAATTCACTCACAACTATGCGCTTTATTGTCTTCATCTTGCCTGCCGCTTCGGCCCACATTATTTTCAACACGGGCGACGTGGTCATGGCGTCTCCGGCAGCTAACGTTGAGACCGTCCCGCTGGAAAGGGGTGGAACGATGGATTCCTACGACGCTAAGAGACAGCGATTTAAGCGATGAAGAAAGGATGAATTTTCTAAAGCGGTTTGCATCGCGATTTGGTCGCTCTAGCGAGTCATTACCCAAAGAGGAAGTGGCAGAAGCTTCAGCAAGGTCAAATCCGTACAGGTCTTACGTGGTTGATGCAACAAACGACGTAGATCCAGCTCTTCTCAATATAATCAATAGTGAGAAGTATACATTCAGAGATCTGAAAGACTTAGTGGGAATCCAACCGATGCTTTTCAACGAACAATCAAGTAAGCTTAGGACGTATGCAAGCATGATTATGATCGAAATGAGTAATCTACACAACAAAAAATTGGATAAACTGCTGACGAGAATTCGCGGGAACGAGACTGCGATGAAACACTTTCCTCTGTACATGGATTACACTACGCCAGAAAAGGAGAACCTTTACCAGTTAATTAATTTGGGGAAAGAAGCTGTTACAGAAGAGAAGGGAAAGGGGGGGGGGGGGGGGGAAGCTTACATCTTATTGGTGAAAGCTCGCAAATCATATGCCAAATTGACCAAGCCTGATCGAGCGATATAGTAATTGCGCGTTTGTAGATATAGCAAGAATGACTTGTAGACGCTACACCTTACTGGAGCATCACTTACGATGCTTTCAACTATAAGACCAGAACATGCATGTGATAATGTTCGTGCTTGTTTACATTACTTCATGTAGCAGAAGGCAAGGCTGTTACTAGGATAACGCGAGTAGAAAATGGCTTCGAAAATGCAAAATGAATATGTATGAAATCGACAGTTCAACCTCTACAAATAGCTATCCTACCACCTACAGAACTATGAGTCGATGGGGAAGTTATTGCCTAACTCTGCTAATAGACAGGATTCTCTGACCCGCTACGCTATATGACATTGAATCATTTTTACTATTTTCCATCAAAAACATCATCTAGAAGAACGACTGTAGATCGATTCTCGTTTATCTTCTGTCTTTAGCTAGCAGGACTGTGAGCTGCTCCATGCTAGATACGGCTGTCTTCGGGTTCATTTTCCTCATGAGATTGTTCGCGCTGCTCTTGTCAAAGACATCATTCACGCGTCTAAATGAGACCGTTGCGCTGTATACTGTCATCTTTCGGAGTAAAAGCTCCTGCAAACCCCTTAGCCGCTTCTCAGCTTCACTCCAACTCTCTCGCACACCAGTGTTCCTACGTGCCAGTAGGTCTTAACGACTTGAAATAACACATGATGGCATCCGCAACAGCATGAAAACGTGATGCATGCCTCAATGGATGTGCAGCAAGTCTACCAATGTATTCAAAGCGGGCAGGTCCTGTGACGTCGGCCTTTGGCATCTTCACTAGCAACCACCCGCGTCGGATGATTCCTATCGATAGAACGCCGATACACCGGAGATTTTCAGAACGAGCAGTAGTTGGTTCAGTAGTTCTACGTGCGGGCGGCTGCGATTCAAACCATGGATTGCTGCAAAATGGTCGACGAGATCTGTAGCTGAACGCACTTGCAGCAACATTCACGCGAGTATCGAGTACAGACTTCGATAGTATGGCTTGCAAACAGCATGTCCTGTAGTCGCTTTCCGTCCAGTAGCATGTACAAGGCCATATCGAGTCGTGCACCCAACGTCTGCCGCTGCTCTGACTGAACGCTCTTCTCCTCGTTGGACTTGACCCTCAATTGCTGCAGACTGGTCGATCATGTGTTAGACCTAGCGTGCCGCTCTTGTCCAAACAACTTCATGTTAAAAGCTTCTCGCGCTGGTGAATAATCTTAGGGGTGCTGTGGTACAAGCGAATTAAGGTGCCACGCCACCACGCCTGAAGCTACATCAGGACCACGAGGTGGCAATTACTCTCGCGTGATGGCAGTATTGCCTTTTCGTAAAGCCGCAACGCTAAGATACGTCCTGCGCACGACTTGACCATAGCCAATGCCAGCGATTCGTAACAGAGCCATTTGAATTGTCAACTCAAGTCTAGCAGCACGTTAGGTTCCTGCACGCGCTTCTGGTCCATCAGCTGCTTCAAAAGGGATCATAATCTTCGTCGCCAATGTTGTTGTGACTGGCACAGGAAACGGCGTATTTGGTTCCGATGCCGTAAAGGTACTATTTGTGCGGCGTTCCGGGTGCGATCCGCCCATGTAGGATGGAAGAGAAGATAACGGAAGACCATTATTCTGCGCCACCTCTAGGAACGTCTTCATGTGTTTCTAAGATATCGTCATAATCACATGTATTCATGTCATGCTTTCGTCATTAACACATCATGATCATACAGTCACGTACAAACACTTGGATCTTCTCACACGTCTTAGGCTCAATATTTGCTGAGATCACCTTCCATGCGCTGTAGAAAATAAACGGTGCGTTCACAACGTACAAGCAGTGAAGTGTCTCGGGATAGTAGAGCTGAGCCACGTCAAAGATAATCGGTACGGGAGAATTTCGTTAGCGTTGGCAAATGCCTCGAATAACCCGTCAGGATTGATGTCACTGAGTCGGTCGACCGTGACCAAATGGCCCTCTTTATCTTCACCATTAACATACGTCGGCCAGTTCTCATTGTACACCTTGGACATGGGCAAATCATTTTTTAGAATGTTGTCAATATCGAGAGCAGCACGAACGTCCAAGATCTTCTTCGTCTCGGAAATCGTAAACTGTTTACGGTTTTTCTTTACATTGCGATATGCGTGAGCCACCTGAATTGCCAGATCGTCCGTGTCTTGGTCACCGAAAGTAGACTTGACAACATCGAAGAACAGCTGGTCTTCGGCAGTAAGGGGCTGGGCTTCTTCATTTTGCTCCTCCAAAGACATGAGAAACAACGCTTAGCGATTCTTGATCTCTGATGCCCCAAGGAATGTACTTTTGCTTGAATGATCATCCGAGATCGGGTAACAAAAGAATTCCTTCTGTTGGTGGCGGTGTGTGTGTCGCAAAGCTTTGATGAAAGGCTCAAATTCAAAGCAGATGTCATGTAGCCAAGGAGCCAAAGCGTAGTTGCACCTTAGAGGACGCCATAAAAGCAAAGTGATCGTCAAACTCCTTTGTGTCTATCATTATCTCAAGGCTAAGTCTCTTGCTAAGTCATTCCCCAGACTATTATCGATAGCATAGCGAAATTGTTACAAACGAGTAACCTCCCAAGGCTCAACGGTACGCTCCAGCACGTCCTCAGGCGTCGTGTCAAATGGGCCCGTTTCTGATAACAAACGACATGACCATCGACAGAGGAAACAACTATCAGCATGACACTACTACTACTATCAACAAATATAATTTACTGCACTAGTAACGCACCTGTTCGTCGTGGATTGTGACGTTCCTTAAGAACGGCAGGTTTCGGAATGATCGTACCCGTCTTCTTGGACACACGAACCTTCTCACCGTCATCTGTAAATCGGATAGCAACCCTCGTAGGCTTGCCAATGGATGGATCGACTAGATTTACGTTACTGTAATGAATAGGTGATGGAGACAAGTACGAGCGTCCAGCAGCGGCAGGTGTTGCCTTGACGTAGCGGTGAGTCTATTTTTTCACATAGAAAAACTATCAATCACCAAAGACCTATCAAGAGAGTTCATTCAACCATCTTCCCAGCTTCAATCTCGCACCATTTTGACATTTTCTACAATAACTCGATTTAAATTGCGCACAACGCTAACAACTTCACCCTGTGTGCCTCTATGCGGTCCAGCAATGATTTCAACCTGTAAATGACAAAGTCAGTTGCGTACCAAAAGCGAGATATCTCGATAAAGACAGTGACATAGAGATCAAATCCAAAATCAACAGATACATACCTTATCACCACGAAAAATATGCCACTTCTTTATCAAATCAATTGCTTTCTTTTTCGTACGCGGACCACGTCGGAATGCAATTGGAATACGGGTTGCCATTGTCACCTATAGGATCAAGCTTTGCTGTCCATACATTATTTGACGACAAGGTCGTTGGGTCCCTATTGGTTAAAAGTACTTGTACAATTGTTACTTTCTCATTTGTTCAAATTAAAAAAAACAATCATAAAGTAACATGTTACAAACACTCTCGTTGCTACAAAAGTAACGCTAATATTTTGGAAACGTTTGGGATCCATCCATCAGCGACCGAATATTGGGACAAAAGACTCGGACAAATACAAGTTAAATACCATGGCTGACACTATTGAACAGCACGAGTTACAATCCACGGATCATCAGGAAGTTGCTGTTCCCCATGTCGTACCTGAAGATGTGGCTGCTATGTTTGATCTAAAGAAGAAGAAGAAAAAATCGAAAAAAATCAAGAAAGAGGTATGAAATATTGAATGTTTGGCTGAAATTTGTAAAAAAATCTTGATTTTTGACATGAATCTAAAACAACGTGGTTTTTTTTTGAAAATTGAAACCTAAATATAGAAAAAAGACAAGTCGGAAGATACTGTAGCTGCTAGTGATGTTACACCAACGGATGCGAACCTAGTGCTTGTGCAAGACCCTGCTACGTATTCATACAAGGACGAATTACTAGCTCGTATTATGGCGAAATTACACGAGAACAATCCAGAATTAACTGACCGTAAACGGCACACGATGAAACCTCCACAGCTTATGCGTGTAGGCACAAAGAAAACCTTGTGGGTGAATTTTCAAGAGATTTGTCAGATGATGCATCGTAGTCCTGAGCACGTGTTACAATTTACATTGGCTGAACTTGGTACAGAAGGATCAATTGATGGTAACCAACGTTTGGTCATACGTGGTCGCTATGTACCAAAGTACATTGAATCGCTACTACGTAAATACATTACGGAGTATGTATCGTGCCAAATGTGCCGTTCACCTAATACTACACTGACGCGTGATTCAGTCAGCCGACTTTATTTCGTGCACTGTCAGGATTGCGGTTCGTCGCGATCGGTCGCTGCTATTCGCTCGGGTTTCCACGCTGCTACTCGCGCTGATAGACGGGCTGCACGCAAGTAGGATATGCGCTCTTGATCTACTATCGGGTGAAGGAGTTTGCAGCAAATGGTAAAGTAGACAGGTTGCAGCAGGAAGTGGACACTATGGATAGCAAAACTCTATTGCGGTTTTGCTGTGGATAGGTGAGACACTTACGTGAAGTTTTGGGGGAAGCTCGAGACACAACCGATGAATACAGAGGAAATGGAATCTATGTTTGCTGCTATTCGGTGTCACTCATGTCTAAAACCTTCTTTGTATCACGGCTATCGTCCTTTTAGACGTAGCGGCGCTTGCTCTTCTTGGACTTCGACACTTTGGCAGAGTCCACAGCAGCACGCTTCGCACCATGGCGCGAAATAATGATATGACGCTCAAGCCCGGAGCCAATGCTTTCGTGCGCTAGACCAAGCCGCTCGGCACAATCGTGTGCCAGAAGCCGCTCAAACCCGTTCAGATTAGCATCCAAATGCAAGTCTTCAGCTTCACCTGACTTGCCATAAGCCTCAATCTTCTTAACCAACGTGTGCGAGCTGTTTGCTGAAATGCCTCCTGTCTTCTTCTTGTGTGGTGTGGCTGAAGCCCTGACACGAAGAGGAGCAGGAGCAGGAGGAGTTTTGGCTTCAGAAGAGTGTGAAGAATTTGTGCTCGACGAATCGGACGATGATGCCGACGTTGTTCCCTTTTTGACAGACCTTGAAACAGGTGTTGCCCTTTTCTTTACTACTTCCGGCTTAGATCGAGCTTCACGCTTGGAGCTATCGGAAGACTCAGAGGGCATTCGTGTCTTCTGTGCTAGCTTCTTCACTTGCTTTACAATGTGAATGGGTAGAGCTTCGCCTTCGCTTTCAGATTCCGAAGATATTGCCGCTAGAGCAAACGTACGGCCTGTTGTGGGCTTTGCAGCAGACTTGCAACGAGCTTCATCCTCGAGCTCATCTTCAACATCGGAAAACACGGCTCCGTTGGACGCAGAAGCTGGATCAGGGATGGATTCAAAAGATCGATTGCTGGAATCGGATGACAACTCCATTTTCGGCACTGATACATGTGATGTAAATGACTTAGCAGTAGTAACCGTTTCATCAAAATCGTCCTTTGACTCAGAAGTCGATGAACGAGTAGCTTGTGCTTGTGCTTTAATGTCTGGCGCGGGGGTCACATAGGACACAGGCGGCGGCTTAACATCGTCGAAATCCTCGTCAGATTCAGTTTCTGAATCAGCAGCAGCCATCTGCTTATCGTCATTGGACTCAGAAGGCGAGACTTTTTTCTCCATCATTTCTTCATCTTCTGACTCGGATGATTCCGACGAGTCACTAGAAAACTCAAGCTGCGGTACGCTCTCGACATAAAGCACTGGGCCATCAGAATTTGCTTGTGGCACAGACTTTACTACGTGAACTTCTTTCTTCTCTTTGTTTTTCTTTACAGACGTAAACTCTTGTCCAGGATCCTTGGCATCTCGTTGTGCCCTTTCAGTTGTTTCAGATAGTTTGACACGAACATGCTTTCGCAAACTTTTGAACTGATGCACACTTGCATCACAGGATGCACAAAAGAGGACTTCGCACTGCTCGCAGCGCACATTAGCAGTCTTCTTTTCACACTCACCACAGCGTGGCAGCTTCGGCAATGATGGAAGCTCAATGCGCTCGTGTTTTGCCATCACGCGAGCACGATGCACTGTCGTATTACAGTTATCACAGTAAAGCGAGTTGTCACACTTTGCACATTTCCACACGGCCACGCCAGGCTTTTCACACTCGAGGCATGTGCGGTTTTCATCCTTCTGTCCAAGTTCGTCTTGAGCTTCGTTCTCATTGTAACCGTTGCTGCTTTGAGCAACAGTCTTGAATGTACTAGATTGAGCTGGTGTATCACCTGCGATCGGCGTGTGGACATACCTGCACGCATCACCACGAGTGCACACTCCGCTTTGGAAAAATAGACAAACCCTTGCAACCTTTCCAGTAGATGCAGGCACCACCTGATTCGGGAGGCCTAACACGTGGGCAAATTGACACTGCTCACCTTGCGAACAGTAGCCACGAGAAAAATGACGGCAAACCTTGTTGTCTGGAATTGCTTGGATCTCTTGTGGTATAGCATGTGTCTCAATAGGCTTTTTTAAAACTTCAATCTTTGGTTTATGTGGTACTTTGGCAGCTACAGGAGGAGCTGCTGGTGTAGCAAACGCTGCATTGTCTGTAACATGGTAGTATCTACAAAAGAAACAACACGACTCGTTAGTTCTATCAGTGATATTTGAATAGCATACAGCAGTATGACTCGTACTTGCACATATCGCCTTTACGACAAATTCCAGCTACAAAACCACGACACGGTTCTGTTGTTTTTGTGAATTGGCGCTGGAGAGAAACTTTGAGCGTTTTGCCATTGATGACAGCACCATTGGTTGCTTTTACAGCTTTTAGAGCATGTATCTTTTGTGCAAACGTCACGTGACTATACAAGCATGAATGAAGGAGTATTAGAGTCAAAAGGAACAGTCGATTGAAACTAATATGGCTACATGTTGATACTTACGCTGAATTCGTTCCATTATGTCGGACACGAAGGATTGGACCATATGTACGATACATATTCATAAGTAGACCATCTGATAATGCAGTAGTACCAACACCTGATAATACAATTGTTGCTTCAGTATTATTCATCGATCCGACAGGATTCAGATTATGATACATGATGCACTAACGTCTCAAGTGTTAATTGACTTGGCTGGTCATGGAGTCATATGTCATTCGATCGAGGTAACTGACAAAAGCGTTAGTGACATTAACGCTACGTACGTAACAAGATCAGTAAGTAGTTGGTACGAGGTATGGAGGAACATGCTCAGAGTTCAGTGACGACGAATCGAAAGCGGCAGCGATCAAGAGAACGTCAAGATGAGAAAGAGGAGATTCAAGTTGATAGTATTCAAGTCAATTGCATGAAGAATGAGCAGCAGATGCATGAGCAAGAAGAGAAAAGGAATAGTCTATATTCTAAAGACGAGAGTAGATGTGAGACGGAGAATCAAGACGAGACACTTGTAGTACTGGAGCTTTGTGACTTTAAGAATCATCCAATATTTGATGATTATAGCTCTGCGATACTTGAGGTACGTACGTTATTTTGAAACAGAGTACCAGTTGATTGAAAGTCTTGTAGGGATGAGCGAGTGGTGACATACTTGTTTGATCTGTGTGTAAGGGCATCGACACGGCAACACCAATGCTACGAATTGGTGAGTACATTTTGTATGGTCAATTGGAAGAAACGGTTGGTACAAACTATTTTTACGATACGGACACGACAAAAGCATTGGATCAGACGTATGCATTTGTGGGTCAAACGATTAAAAAGATCAAGTTTACGATCGCACCACCAGAAGAAGTGTAAGACGTCTACCATCATCATCAATCATCACTAATACAAATCTCGAACCATGCACGTGACTGACTGACTACCTAAGGCTGATGTGGCTGTGAGATGCTGACTGTAATAGGCTTTATCAGCTTCTTTCAACGTATTCCAAACAAGTCCATTCATTTTGTTGCTCTTATCTTCTCTGCTGTAAAAGGTATTCCATTCCATAATTCCAACATACCGCCAATTAGGGGCTGATGCTGCAACCGATCCATTCATCAGCTCACGACGCTTGCACAACTCCCATTTTTTTCTGCTGCTTAACGGTAGAGCTGCTCAACTGAGAGGTTCTTGGCAATTTCAAACTCCCACTTGTCACCATTCGCTAACAGTTTTGCCTTGTCGTACAATAGCTCTTCGTGAGTTTCCGTGGCAAATTCAAAATTTGGACCTTCAACAATAGCGTCTACTGGACATGCTTCCTGGCAAAACCCACAATAAATGCACTTGGTCATGTCAATATCATAGCGTGTTGTACGACGTGCACCATCCGCACGTGTCTCCTACAAAATGAACGAGGCATTGAGACATTAGACCGACGAATATAAAAGAAAAACACAAGTCCGTTTGACATCTTGTTCACGTACTGCTTCAATGGTGATCGCTTGCGCCGGACAAATCGCTTCACACAACTTGCATGCAATGCATCTAGAAGTCATCACAACAAGAGACACTTAGAATCCAACGGATCCACCATTCGTTCAAAATGCCTCACCGTTCTTCGCCACTCGAATAACGACGTAGCGCATGCTCACCACGGAAACGTGGACTCAACATTCCCTTCTCATATGGATAATTGATTGTAACTTTACGTTCCATATGAACTTCCCACGATAACCAAAGCGCACGAAATACATCCGAGAGGAAGAAAGTGTCCGACATTTTCTCAATCACCTCTCCCCACGTGGGTTTTGGATCGGGTTTACCAGGTGCAGGAACATTTGCAAACCCGCGTGTGTTATAAACCATAGCCATGGGTATACTACGATGTAGATACGGCTTTGCAGCCATCGCCATAGCTGATCGACGCAGCATTAGAACGTTCATTGTAAAGGGTGAGCACAAAATGATGAGCGGTTGTCGTTCGATGATTAAGGCAACATTAAGGCAACATAAATCACACGATGTTGCTTGATAGAGCTTTGATTACGGAATGCAAGTAGCGTACGTTTTTCATTGGTTGAAATAAATAAATGTTTAGTCATTCGTTTTTCGTTGGAAGCGACAGCATTCATTACAATAACCAAGTCATAACGATGAAATCGCATGCTTTCGTGCTGTGTAAAGTACGACATAATGTGAGTCTGTCACCATGTCACGCTATGGAACCACGAGTAGGAATTGATCAAGATCTTACGGAGCAATTGATGCAATATTCAGAAACACTACAGGGTGTAGTATTGAGTTTTAATAACGTTCAGTTGGATCGACCGTATGGTGCTATTGTGAATGAAATGCCCTATATTCATTGCAAAGTATTGGCTGATGCACTGGTATTTCGGCCTACACTAGGCATGAAACTATGTGGTATTGTCAATAAGATTGGAAGCAATCATATTGGTATGCTCTTTGCTGGTGTCTTTAATGGTTCAGTGGCTGAGACTGAGTTACCGAAAGGATTTGTACATAACTATGCTCAGGATTGCTGGTACGCTGCTGCAAACGATTGCATTTGTGATATGTACTTGGTACTTATTGCTGTACGTTGCTTATGTGTTGTTTTTTAGGCTGGGTGAGGACGGCTCGTCAATTTCTGTGCAAGATGAAGTGAATGTCCAAGTGCTACGGTGAGTTGGTTACGGCTATTTCTTTGAGTTATGGTGACCTGATTTTTGTATCTGTTGTGTTTTACTACGGAACAGTGTTCACATTGCTGGAGGCATGATCGCTATTGAGGCCACGATGCGTTTTAGTGATTCAAGCGTCGAAAAGCTTGCGTCGGAAAAGAAGGTGAAGAAGGTCACGCACCTTAATCTGACAGCAGGAGAACCAGTGACTAATCTGACTGAAGAGAAGAAGGTCAAGAAACGTACGGAGTTTGAGGAAAAGAAGAGTTGGAATGCCAAGAAGGTTGAGGAAGTTACTTTGACAATGACCAAGGTGGTCGAAGGTGAGGATGCTAAGGTGAAGAAGGGCAAGAAGGATAAGCCTGAAGAAGGTAATCAAGCAAAAGACAAGAAGAAAACCAAGAAGCACAAGCTCATGGAAGATGTCCTGGAAGAGACAGAGGAGAAAGTTGTAGTGAAACTAAAGAAACACAAGGAAAAAGACGCCAAGAAGAAGAAACACAAGAAGAGCAAGCAAGAATAGACAGATAAACGGCGCTAGACGAGATGATAGATGGATGACTAGTATTCAGCTGCATGTTTTTATATACTTTCAAGAGACAATGCTCCGATAATGCTCGTTATTCTGGTCACGTCATTGTACGCACGCCAGAAGACTGGTGATTGCAAACTATATGAGTAGCCATGCTGCACATTACTCGTATGATATCAGGTCCTCCAACTCTGTAGGAATTTTTGGCAGCGATTGTTTCGGATCGCAAATGCTCCAGTTTGGAGACTGCTGTACTTTATGCCACTTGAAGTCCTTCACTTTCGCCCAAAGCCCTGGATCCTTTTGCAATCCCAAGCGCTCGAGTTGTGCCTTCGACCCGTCAAAACGCAAGCAGTAAGGCCCAAACTGCATCTGCTGGCAGTCCTCGATAATAGGGTGGCTCGAACTGCGCAGGTGAAAAATCGTGGCAGTGCTCGAGTGAACGCGCAGCTGGCGACAAGCAACGATAAATTCGCAACCCTCGCAGTGCTCAAGCCATAAGCTTCCAAAGATCGCTCCAGTGTAAAAAACACAACCTTTTAGCGCATTACATCGTATAGCTGATGTCTCCACGGATACAAACACGACACAATTCGTCAAATGAGAAAAGTTCAGATCGCGGCGTTTGTCGGGTACATCAGTGAAGCTACTGCTGTCAATAATAATCACCTCGTTCTGTTTGTTAGCGTGTACGAGTTCATCAAATTCCATCATTTTCTGCGATATAGGCAAGATCTGCTTGTTGCATTGCTTTTCAGTCGAGTCCGATGACGTATCCTGTTCTGGTTCGTTCTGCTCCTCGGCTTTCGCACTTTTCGCCACTCGAGCTCGAAACGTAAATTTTTTCCTTGGTGCAAAACTCGCACGAGTAGTATCAATGAGCTCCTGAAGCTTGGACAGGATCAATTGCGTGTGACGAGTATCATACGGTGACAAATACAGTGACGCTGCCGTAGCAGCAGCATCTCTCATAGCGTTTACTTCAAGCAGCAGTGCATCCAGCTGAACCTCCTTGGTCGGTTCGCAAGGCAACGGCTGCTTCTTTTGCTCACAAAATAGTTGCACTTGCATACGAATAAAATTCTCCTTTTGTGTAAACGTTTCCCAAAACGTCGTCACGAGCTCATCCGTCGTCAGCTCCTGATGCTGCTTTGAGACATCGTTAGCATTAACACTCGCACTTTTCATGTCTTTCTTCTCCTTGCGTTGTTCTTCAAGTGCATGTGCCAAGCTCTCCTCATTAGTCGTAAGTATAGGAAACTGACCCTCAATATTAACTCTCTCAGGTCGTACAATAGCGCCATGTAATGGTTTACACTCAAATAAGCGTTTGCCTTGAAATGACCCATCGCCTTTACCAAGTGGTTTATCAAGTCTTACACCTATCCATACATCCCCAGGTAGACCTTCAATTGAACCTATATATGCAATCTCACCGTATCGCTTTATACTGCTACGTAAGCTACCATTGTTACTAGAAGCCAGGAGCTCACATCGTGCTCCTAAAGTAGCCATTTGATCGATTGATAACTCATTCGTTTGTATCAAGTAAAAAGACATTGGATTCGTTAAAAAAATACAATGCATTTTAATTGATTATGAACGAATCATACAAAAGTAAGTATCTACCAATCAATGCATGGCATATTGTGGTAAAGAAGAGTTTTGAAACGTACGTACAATCTCACGAGTCTCACGTGACAAGAGCCAGTTTTGATCTTGGATTAAAGTTACAAGCCAAGATGTATCCAGGAGAAGGAAAAGGACAACAACCTCCACATGGATATCCACCACCACAACAGGCTGGATATCCAGGTTATCCACCACAGCAACAGGGGCTATCCACCACAGCAACAGGGCTATCCACCACAGCAACAGGGCTATCCATCACAGCAACAGGGCTATCCTCCACAACAAGGTTACCCACCTCAGCCAGGGTACCCGCCCCAGCCAGGGTACCCACCACAGCAAGGGTACCCACCACAGCAAGGCTATCCTCCACAGCAAGTTTATGCTCCGCAGCCTGGATACCCTGTTCAACCTGGTTATCCTGCCCATGGACATGGACACCATCATGGTCATGCGTATGCCCAGCCCGGGTATGTGGCACAGCCTGGAGTGGTTTTTGCTGGTGGTATGATGAAGCATGGCAAGATGAAGCATGGTAAGCATAAGGGATACAAGTACAAGGGTCATAAACATAAAGGGTTTAAAGGCAAAGGCTTCAAGAAGATGGGCAAGAAGATGAAGAAGATGTTCAAGTAAGATTTGGTTTATGCAGGGTACACGATGACTACAGACCGGTACTGGAAAGCATGCTGGAACTGCAAGCGGGTCTCTGATAATAAAAAGCTTCATATAATCTTTTCTCTGTCACGGAATGTACAGTTCGTGCTACATTTTGATGCAACATGTTGTTGAGTTTGACACTCTTCTGTAGTGTCTTTACCTTTTCCAAGCTGAAATTTGTCATTATCAGAAGAAGTAGAAGAGCATACAAAGCCTCGGTAAAGCAGCAGAAATTTAGCCTGAAGCACCATTAAAGTTTGCATGACCATAGACAGCTTGACCCTGCGCAGCCAGACACCACGAAATAGTGCTGGCGCTTCGAACACAAGCAGCAAAGGCAATGATAAATTTAAGAAAGTAATCAATCTAGTATCACATGCCTTAAGCCTACTTTCAAGCTTTTCCGTCGTACCCTTCTGCAGATCAACTTTTAGCAAATTTAATTCCAGATTATCTCATTCATCTATGCACTACCTTCATTTGCAAGAAGGACAAACAATTCCATTAAACGTAGTTAAGGTTTGCAAGATGTCTGGTAGATCCCACGACTGGTTAGCAACGCCGGTTTCTCAAACGAGGCCGGTGGTTGTACGGGGCTAGTCACCTGCGGTAACGGCATTGGTACAGTAGCAGTCGTGTACCGTTGATCGACTTGTCTACGCTTCGAATATCGTGCGTACCCATTTCACAGAGTTGTCGCATGCCGAGTTCCCAGAACTCCCAAACGCTGCCTCGTATGGTCAAGTTTGCCTGCTGGAAGGTTGCCATGTTTCTTTGTATCCATAAGCGAGCAATGCATATGCTGCTCAAGATGATCCATAGGCACCACCACAAGTCGACGAATGCAGCCGCCTCGTTGAAATAATCACGGTTGAGCTGCTCACGGACTACCGTGGTTAGCCCTGATGCTCATCGGCTTGCACTGAATAATCTACCTATATTACCTTCCACTGTCTATGAATACGCTTGTTAAATGTCTTTTTCTTCCTTATTTAACCTAAAGTAACTAAATTATCATTGATGACCCTGTTCTTCTAGGAAGAGTACAGCAAGTTATAGCAATGCGCGCAGAAAACGTACATGGTAGGAGCCAGTCCAATCACACTGGAAAAAGAACTTTATAAAGCATAGACGAGACCAAAATATATTTCCGCTGAAAACTAATATATTCACTAGCCAAGAAAAAATCCGCTGGTATGTATGTAGCAGTAAAAACCAGCTCTTTACTGCAACAAGTAGCTGTCAGCTTTTTTGTCCAAAGCCGTATCAAATAATACACGCCTGACGCAAGTAATTTGTCCATTATGATTGCGGATCAGGTCGTCACAATGATATACGGTGCTATCGATTTCCTCCACGTGTCCACGCCGTTCAATCAAGGTCAACATTTGTCATAAATGCGATAGCAACCTCGATCGATATTGCATTCCCGATATCATACATACATACATAACCGACAAGATAGCTTAGAAATGCGTTTGCAAATTTTTCATTTGGCCTAAAATATAGCGAAAATGACATATTGTAGGCTTTTACTGAATGAGAGAGATAGAAACCAACACCATCAGACAAAAGTCAGATGTTACGATGTTGTGAAAAACTAGTCGAGTTGTTTGATTTGCTACAGGTCGTTCCTTGTCAATAGGAGACAGTTAACAAGAAGTGATACAAGAGTATAGTCATGTACAGGCAAGAGCAAGAACCGCCTGCTTGTCAGACACCTCAGCAGCAATTGCCATCATCCCAGCACCAAAATTACCCATCAAAGCAGCAATATGCTTCATCACAGCAGCAGTTTGACGCTTATTCGACGCAGTCTCACCATTAAATTCCTCTGGCACAACCTGTCTACACCCCTCAGCATGCATACCCTCCTTCACATGGAGCTATAGCATTAGCCCAGCCGCTTTACCCACCACAACAAGTTTACCCGCCACAACAAGGTTACCCACCACAGCAAGCTTACCCACCTCACCAATCAGGCTTTGCGTATCCGGCGCCTTCGCCAGATCCTGTATACGCCGCACCTCCTACTTATGGTGCTTCGCCTCCAGCAGGGTACCCTTCACATCCTGTCTACAATGCTCCACCTCAAGTGTCGTACCCATTCCGGATTTTTCCCTCTCGAGCACACATCGTTTTCGAATCTCTTGTCACCCACAGCCTCTCCCGCCGCCGTTGTCGTCCAGTCCTTTGCGTCTGCTCGCCTTCACCCCGCCCCGCTTAGTTCGTCTCACTTCTTCCCCGAAGTGTTGTTGTTCCCGCTCGCGCCCTTTGGCTTACGTCGCACCGATCATGACCACGCCTCCGCGTTCTTCGCCATCTTCGCGCTCATCGCAGCCTCTGCGCTCTTCGGATCGCTCGGCCACCGTGCTGCCACGTCATTCCCCCCGCCCCGTCGCTTCGTCCCTGACGACAGTCTGTTCACGGCCAGTTATTCGCTGATTGGTGATGACTCGTCGACTGATGACGATCGCTACTTCAAGGCCAGTACGCAACTACCTACGCCAGTTGAAGCTGTGCAGTGCACACGCATGTGGATTCCCGCGGCGCGCTTGTCTTCCGAGCATTGCACCGACGAGATTCTGCAATCACTGGCAGGTGACTCTCAGCCAGCCATTTGGCAGGCTCATCGCGCTTCTTTGCGCGACTTTGTCCGGATTCCCCACCAGGGGATATCATTTCTCTGCACCTCTGACGCGGCTCTACACTCTTTGGGTGGTCTTGCGTTACAGGTGTGTGGTTCAACGGTCCACATCCGTAAGTATTCCAAGTACGACAAACTGTACTTCGTGGATCTGACTCGGCTTCCCGGTGACGTGCCTGATCGCGCTATCTACAATTGGTTCATGGACCGTGGGGCTCGTCCGGTGCTCATTACGCCGACTTACGTTGCCGGAGAGCTTAAGTCTCGCGACCGAACGGTGTATTTCCACGCCGTCCAGTGCCCACCGGGTCTCTTTCTCGAGAATGGCGAGCCGCTTCGCGAGATTTTCTTTGACCCTGAGGACAAGCCGTGTTTTGTGCAGCATCGGCTTCGTAAATTCAACCGTGTCAAGCCTCCTTCGCTTCGCCAACAGGCTTCTCCTCCTGTATCTTTTGGTGTTGTTGACGATGGCGACACCAGCATGGGAGCCAGCGATGCTGGGTCTCTCACTGACGGTGGCCCCATTTTGCCTGCTCCCGCGACGTCTGCATCTCGTGCAGACCCGGTTCCGGGCCCCTCGATTTCTGCAGTCGTCCGCGCTTCTCGTTCTACTACTTCGGCCGCCCGTTCGGCTAAAAAACTCTTCATCTTGGACTCTGTCGACGCGACAGCGCCCGCGTGGACACTGGTTCAGGCTTCTCGCAGAGGTGTTACGACCGCGGCGGGACCGGTGAGTGCTCCGGACGGTTTGCTCCCGTGTTCTCTTGCTGAAGACCCCGCTGATCCATCGGCGTTAACGTACTCCACGATGATCGACGTGTACAACTCGTACGAAGTTCTCACTGATACTGCGCACGATGATACTCAACCTCCGGACGTCGATATCGCTGCCTATGATGAGCACGGCAACGCTATTGCTGGATTCACGGAAGATACCCCTCTCGTCCCGCGTCGTGCAGCACGTGCCTTCATGGGCACTCGACAGCTCAAGCCCAAGCGTCAGCAACTCTCACCGCAAGAATTGGATGCGCTCATTGCTGAATTTGTGGCCAACGATGTAATGAACTACTCGGCGCATGATGATCTTCTGGCGGCTATCCAGGTTCAGCCTGCTTACCTACGACACTTATTCTCGTTGCCGGTGGAATGGTTAGATCGCACGTATCGTACTCATGCGGTCTACCGTGCTACGCGCGGTATCCAACTTCCTGATGATCGGACGGACATGGTTTCGTTTCTTCAAGTCAAATTCGCAGCGCCAGGGGCTACTCTGGCTCAACTTTTCGACTACGTTTTTCCGGATGACGAGCTCCGCCGTGCTGCTTTGTCCTGGGCCACGTGCGACTTGTTCCTCATGACTTTTGCTCCTGGGGTTTACTTCGATCCTGTGAAGTTTGGAATGTTGTTACCGGACCGCCTCGCCAGTAAACGGCTTCGCCACACGCCCTTCCTGCTTTGGAGTGATCTCAATTTACAGTGTGTCACTCGGTCGGATGTGGTGGCTGTCTTTTTGAACGATCCGCGAACCCCAGACGCTGTTCGCCGCGCCATCCAAGCCCTCAAGGATACTTCTCTTCCTGCAGTTATGACTGCGTCCAGCCAGGTGGTCCCCGCTCACCTCTAATGAGGCGTGGGCCTTTACTGGCTTATCACTCAACATTAATGGATTAAATCACCCCCCATCGACACTTTACGAACGTCTTCTCTCCGCGTATCAGCTGGTCGCGGTTCAAGAGACCAAGTTCGTCGGCCCTGATGCTCTTCAGACAAACGAACATTTCATTTTTGCAGCGGACTCTGGAGCACAATGCTTTTGGTCAGACTCCTCTTCGCCTGCTTTCACGGGACGTCATGGTGTTGGCATTGTTTTCTCTTCCGCTACGCCTTTTCAAGACATCCGCGACCTCACGGCTGATGTCTGCTCCATCCCGCTCATCAACCGGTACATACTTCTTCAGGCTCGGCTGGGCGATATTCCTGTATATATTCATGTGGTCTACGCTCCAGATGAGCCTTCGGAGCGTAGTGAATATTTTCGTACGCTTCCGACTGAATTTTTGAATACGGTTCCTGATCGCGCTGTCCGGCACCTTGTGGTCGGGGATTTTAACGTGACTTTGGACAGCTATTTGGATCAGAAGATTCCCAGTCTCCATCATCCAGGATCCGGGCGTGATGATCTCTGTGCTTGGATGGACGCGCTTGGTTTAATGGATTCGTGGCGCCATATGCACCCGGATACCCGTGATTTTACGAGTCCTACCCGCAAAAACCGCCTCGATTATTGTCTTCTTACTGCTGGCTTCGTGCAGGATCACCTAGTTGACGTCTGCCATGTGAGAGACCGTCGATGGCATACTGAAGATCATATCCCAGTCGAGTTTTGACTCCAGGCGAAGCTGCTACCTAAGGGACGTCGACCTCCATGGCGTTGTCCACCGTGGCTGCTCAAAGATCCTACAGTTCGGGCCTATCTGACTGCCTCCGTTTCTGAGTTAGGCCGTCGCATCAAGATCTTTTCGGGTGCTAACCCGGGGTGTCTTCTCGACGAGCACAAACGCAAGGACAGCATATACCTCAAGCGGCGGTGGTTGGAGCTCCGCGATCTCGATTCTCGACGAACGTCTACACTCGTCACTGCGGTCAACGACGCACATGACCTTCACAACGCGGCTTCGACTGAACAGAGTCTCGAGGCAGTGGAACAGGCGAAGCTGTTACTTCAGACCCACCTTGGTGCAGTCAAGTCTCGGAACCAGTTCAAGAAATTTGCGGCGGACTTACACGTTAGTGAACGTGCCACTAGCCACTTCTTTCGGCCGCCCCGGCAAGACTGTCTACGATCTCCGGTTCCAGGATATCAGGCACCCGACGGCTCTATTACGGACGATCCGGTTCGGATAGCGGCGGGTCATCGTCAGTTTTGGGGTCAGCTTTTCCAATCACCTTCACCGGACCTTTATGGTTTACGCACTGCCACGTACGACCCTCTTCGTCTGGTCGAATATCTTGGCGCCACGACGGCTCGTCTTACGTTGCGGCAGACTTCTCTTATGGATGCACCTCTCACGGCCAATGACTTTTACTGGGCAATATCCTCTTCTAAGAATGGAAAGGCGCCTGGACCTGACGGACTTCCCATTGAATACTACAAGGTGGCAACCTCCATATGGGCTTGGATATTCGAAGTCGTTCACGATAATCAGTTGCTTCGCGGTAAGATGACTAAGTTCCAACGCCGTGCTCATCTATCGCTGCTGTACAAGTCCGGTGATCGTACACTGCCTGCTAATTATCGGCCACTAACGCTATTGAATCACGATGCTAAGCTTGGACCAAAGGTTCTTGCTTATCGTATGCGGACAGTGTTGCCGACTCTTATCCATGATGATCAAAGTGGATTCATTCCCGGTCGTTCCATTCGACACTCGCTGCTTCGCTTTCAGGACCTCCAAGATTTCTGCAAGTTACACCATCCTGATACCTGCGCCATACTGTTGGATTTTGCCAAGGCCTTCGACAGCGTCTTATGGCCGGCGCTGGACTTGGTTCTCGATCACTTTGGTTTTGGGCCAACTTTTCGTGCCTGGATCAAGACGTTTTACACTCAAACTTCTGTCAGTATTCTTCTCAATGGATCGCCTGGTGACCCCTTCGTCTTGGGAGCGGGCGTTCGTCAAGGTGATCCACTATCCCCTGGGTTATTTGTGCTGTTCGTCGAGCCCATGATGAGTTTCTTACGCAGCCATTTTTCGTGTCGCGGCATTTCAGTGGATCCTTCTTCCGAACCGCACTTACTTTTAGCTTTTGCAGACGATTGCACCGGACTACTGGAGAATGTGGATGATGCTGACGATTTCCTTCGGTTAGTCGACGACTATTCTAGCGCGACTGGTCTCCGACTTAACGTTAGTAAAACGTGTGTGATGCCGATGTCTCACCACATTACGCGTTCCAAACTGGACGGTCTTCGGGCAACTTCTTCTTTCAAGGTTCTTAGCGTGACGGACACGGTGACACTGCTCGGTATTCCTCAAGGCGCGACTATCACCCCTGATATACGCTTCAGTCGGGTCCTGGTGAAGCTTCGAGCGCGGTGTGCTATTTGGAAGTATCGGGCGCGTACCCTTCGCGGTAAAGTGGTTCTTCTACGGAGTGTCATCTTACCACTTCTTTGGTACTCCGCGAGTGTAACCAGTTTACTGCAGCACTGTTGAAGGCCGTTGATGTTATCATACGTAACTTTATCCACGGCAACGACACAGATAATGACTCGGCGTGTCCAGGCAAATTCTCCCACGAATGGATTTACACCAGTATTCAGCACGGTGGTCTTGGTCTGACACCGGTGAAGGAGTCTATTCAGGCCATGCATCTGAAGTCGTTGGGGGACGCCATTGCCGCGACTTGCCGTCGTTGCGCCGCACCTCGATGGATGACTCCTGCACTCTCTCTATTCTCTTCAGCGTTGGGACGTCAAGGTCTCGGGTCGATATCTTGTATGCTGTGGTCAAAGGTACTTGGCAACTTCTTCCCCCATTCTGGTATTCCACCCTCCGCCTGTGGACTGATATACAGTCGTCTCAAGGGACTTCGGATTGGAAACGTTTTGCGCAGACGGCGCCTTTTTGGAATAATTTCCATCTTCTCTTTGGCACGACTCGCCGCCCTTTGGCCAAGCTTTCCAAGTATTATGGCTTGCTACAAGATCTCAGACTCTGCCGGCAGCAAGACTTTGTTGATATCTCATCTACTTTCGCCTCTTCCGCATACTTGGAGTCTATTTTGCGCGTCGAAGACTTTCCACGCCCCGCCTCCAAGACTCGGTTCATTACCGAAGTGATACCGCGTCTCAACTTGCTGGTTAATCATGATTCGCCTTCTTTTGGTCCTGTATTTCCGCGCTTGATCGAATCAGCGCGGCATGATTGGAGTATTGATGGCACGATGGTGGCAGACATGACCAATCGTGACTTTGTCCGTCTTCTCCTCTCCTTACGCACCGGTTCGTCGACCCCTTCGCTTCCTCTACAACAACTTGGCGTTCCCGAGTATTTACCTTCGTCTGGATTGTGGATCTTGGAGTATGGTCTTGATCGTCATGTTCTTCCAGTCGCCGCCGATTTTAAATTCTGTCTTCAACACAACGCGCTGGGATTCCGGTACAAGTTTCGCTGGCGTACAGAGATTACCACATCTTTGTCTTGCATTCATGATTGTGACGCCATGGAAACCGCTATTCATCTCTTTTGGCTTTGCCCTGTCGCCAAGTATCAATGGAATTTTTTCTTGCAGCCTTTTCGAGACTGTTTAGATGGCGACGTCTCGTGAGTTCATATTCTGTTTCCTGCTTCGCTACGTATGCTCCCGTCTGCCATCATGGTTTTTGGGAATCGTGCTATTCTGATCGTCTTCTATGTTGTTCGCTGCTGTGTTCTCCGGTCTCTTTGGCTTCATCGCAACAAAAGACTCTACAACCCCGGGACTAGTACGAATGCCGCCTTTGTCAGTCATCACTGTTTTGCCTATGTGGATCTACACTTACGCACTTTGAGGTCCTATGCGGAACGGAAGCAATGGCAAGGCCTCTTGCGCCTTGTTTTGGATACTTCATCTACTTTCTCTATGGATACGTTCTCTCATTCTACTGTTACTATGGCTTCGGATTGCTGATGGCTGGGTCACGCTATACTCGCTATGCGGTCACTAAGCCTACCTCTATGGATGCGTCCTCTCTTTCTACTGTTCCTATGGTTTTGGATTGCTACTGCTTGAGTTCTACGCGTTACATGCTATGCGATCTCTAGCCCATTTACATTACCTCGTCACGAAACATATCTTCAAGATATTTGTGGATGAAGTGTTCAATTGTTCGATTAGCATGGTTATTACTATCTATCTCTGCTATTGCAACCCTACTTCTGCTTACTATGGTTTCTACTATACTCTGGATTCTTCTATCTACGCTGTGGTCTGGATTCTATCTACGCCTTGGTTTTCCTTGCTGTTACTGGTGTTTGGAGCTCTTGGTTGAAAGCCGGTCCGCCACGTCAAGGCGGCTCCAAGTTGAACCGGGATTGGACCCTTTCCCGGGCCCGAGGTCCGACAATTAAGTCGGATCAGGTATGCCGCCGTCAGCCCGCCTTTCCACCAGCTTGCTGCGTACCGCACATACCCCGCTACATGGATTTGAATCGTGTTTCCTCGTGTCTTTTAAGCGTAATTGGGCCGCAGGTAATCACTTTTCAGTGAACAACACGTATCATCACTCTCCTAAGCCGTGTGGCTAGTCGTAGCTCAAGGCTACACTTCAGGCACGCCTGAAAGTTTTTACGTCGTCTTTCACAAGGCTTTAAGGATGGATGGTCCCCTCGTCCCTGCTTCCAACTACGCAAAGGTGAAATTGAAGGTCGCGTTTCATCTTCGCCATCGACATCCGTACTACTCCCGTCCCCAGGGCTTTCCGTTTGCCGATACCGCCGATGGCACGCTTCCCTCGCTTTCGGTTGACCATTGAGTCCGCTACTCTCAAGCGCCCTCGGGCCTGCCAGCCCATGTTCACAAGATTTCACTTCCTACCCAAGGTGTCCCCGCTGCTACTTCCTGAGATCAAGTCTTTCGCCCACGGTGACATACGAGCCAAGATGCCGCCGCACCAGCTCTGCTGCCCCGCAAGACCAAGTCCATCCCTCGTTTTCGCCTTCAAACTCCGTGCTTCGACACCTCCTACTGACCCATGTTGTCTGTCACGACGAAGATCCCAAAGGACTCTTCTGCATCAGTCCGGAGGCTCCGCTTCACGGTGCGAGTTTCCCTGTTCTTCTGGCTTGTCTCCAAACCCCGGCAAGTTAACCCGCCTCAACGGCCTTACGGCCTCACGGGAGATCAAGGTGCGTCGCATCTCAACCTCCCAGTGCCCGAAGGCACGGTCACCGCCTAGAGAGTTGAACTCTACCTCACCAGCAAGCTGGATACCCCCACGGGGGCGGTGTGTTTGTTTATATTTTATCTTTCCGCTACTTCTGCCTCTGCCGACACTTCTATATTTTTTTAGCTAGTTT